TATTTATTCTTATCACACATTAATATGATTTCGGATAATGATTTCTTAAATTTGTGGTAGCAACTAGTTAAATTCCGTAAAAACGCCATAAAACCTTGATCATGAGTTAAAAAAAAATAAGTGATAACAAATTCAATCCAAGATCGCAAATTACAAAAATCTGTGACTGATAATTCAACTGATAAGAAATTATAATTCGTTATTATTACAATTTGTACAATTTGTTTAAACGATTTTAAACTTGTTAAATACGTAATTATGATTTTTTTTAATTTGTGATCTCGAATTTAAATTTCATTTTTTGAACGTCTTAAATAAGTTTAGAATCTTTGTATTTGTAAGAATTACTTACCATGATTTGATTCATTTCTTTCTGTTACTTCTTTTTCTGTGTTTGATGTGGTCATCCATGAGTATACAGCAGTGCTCTCTTTAATTGTAAATGAAAATACAACGTTATCATAGTTGAAATTTCTAGTTGTGTACTATGTTCCTGAAATTTACACACTCGTAATTCAGATTCAAGTGATATTAAAAATTTGTAATATTTATATATAGCCCCAATAAAGCCTTTCCCTTTACCTTTAAAAAAAAATTGAATTTAAAAATGAACGTTCATGTCGTCAATTGTCTGCATGCTTTAACTTCTAGAAGATTTTTCGTTATAAGGGAATTACGTCGTAACGATTTCTAAAGTTTGGATCAAGATTTCTCAAGTATGTGTAATCACAAGCTAAAGCGATTTGTTTTAACGATTCTTTAGCCGTGGTCACGAATGACAAACAAAAATTATTCTTCAGCTTTCTTATTATGAATTTAATCCGTGATTTCGTTTGAACACTCATAATACGTTTTTGTAGGTCCCTAATTACTTCCGAACTTAATAGTTTTAATAGGTGTGTTTGCGAAAATGTACGCGTATTAAGCCGTTGTCGTGTCCAAAGTTTTAAACCGATTTTTGCTTATATGTACCGTAAATCAATTACAGGTACTTTCATTTATAGAAATAAGAAGATGTGGTATTAGTGCCAATGAGACAACTCTCCGTCCAAGTCACAATGTGTAAAAAGTAAACAATTATAGGTCAAAGTACGGCCTTCAACACGGAGTCTATACTCACACCGAACAGCAAGCTATAAAGGGCCCCAAAATGACTAGCGTAGAACAATTTAAACAGGAAAACCAACGGTCTAATCTAAATAAAAAACTAGAAACGAGAAACACTTATGAACCACATCCACAAACGACAACCACCGAATAGGCTCCTGACTTAGGACAGGTGCATACAAATGCAGCGAGTTTAAACGTGTTAACAGGCGCCAACCTTCACCCTAACCTGAAACAGTCGTGAAACATTTCAACATAAAAAGACACACTATAAAATATCAATTGAAATGGCTAAACTCGATCAAAAAGACATATAGACAAAAACAAGTAAACATACACTGAACGAATAAATTTGATCTATGACACAATATAAATACAATATTAAAAAAAAAAAAAAGATTTAAAACAATGTCAAAAAGACAACTCTAACCTGGGACAAAATGGCGTTAAATAAAATAACGTACACAGGAAAATTTAAATATGATAATTTTGTTGTTAGGAGTACGGAAATATTTTTTATACTTTACAAAATAAATAAATGTGTTCTTAACAGTACGAGTACAGAAGTGAAAATTTATCGTCATACTAAATACTTATCAAAGGTGGTACATATTAAAAATAGTGAAACGAGATATAACACACAAAAAGTAAACATTGAATAACAATCAAAGTACTGAAGTACTGAACATGACCGCAAGCTATGTAGGATGATGAATAAATGACAGGCGGTTGGTTATATGATACCTGCCAGACAGATATGTACACCTTACAATTATTCAATACACATGATATGAATGACATATTCATCCGCAAACACAATTTTTCGGTACGTGTGCATAGATATTAATGATTTTTTTACTTATATATATATATTTCTCACGACAAAACATTTTCAAATTATTTATTTATGTTCTTAAAAAATATTTTCATGAGTATTCATTGAAGAAATGAATTTATAACAAGCGATAAGGAATGTTATTTTGCACTCGATAATATCCGCGTATTTATACGAAATACGTTCGGTTATCAGTCAAAAGCGCAAGGGACGTGTGCATAAATTTCTGCGGCAACATAACTCCGGTATGACCTTTCAAGGTCACATCCGATGTAAAAATGCATTACAAATTGTGTCAACAGGTCAAATTAACACGAAAGTACGATTTGAGAGTACTCGCAGTTACTGAAAGCTAGTAAAAAGCCAAAAACAATTAATAATAAAAAATCATGCATCCGAGACTAAAATCAATTATAACACATCACAGGGATGTAGTGTTTTAACGCCATGGACAGTCAAAGAAGACATGACTTGTGCAATGCAAAAATAAAAGTATCGACAGAAAGAAGGATAGTTAGGATTTAACCTTATGATAAATATGTATCATGTTATATATAGATAGAGCAATCTCTATATAGAAATTAAATAAATGTAGATGTGTATTTATATATCCAAAAAAAAACATTCGAAAAGAATACAAAATACAAATTTAGTTATGTTTTAATTTGCTGATGACAAAATCGATATTTGTGCCAATGTAAACAATATACAAAGATCGTATTACAACATTAATAAGATAACCTTTACTATTAAGTTTGTTTAAGGGTTCGATGAGTTTACACGGATCATATAGTCATTTCAGCGCTTTTAGTACAATATTACCGTAAAATTTAGGGTGTGAAATACCGTTTTTAATAAGTTTTCTACAGGTACAGCCAAATGTATATATAACATCGGTTTTTGACGGAAAAAGAAATCATAATATAGAAGCAAAGCAAAAACTCAGAAAAAATTTCTCGATCAATGAATTTCAATACGGAAGACAATAACCTATATTTACTGCACTAGCATGTCAATGCTATGTGTGGTATTGTGTTAAAAGGCTACTTAATTGAAAATGTTATAATTTTGGGCGAAATCATTACAAAAACTGATTTCAATAAGCTCAATGCAGCTGTTATAGGAGTTTCGCATTTTCCTCTGCAAAAATATTTTGGTTTTCACTTAGTTTCTAATGATAATAGCTACTTCGGAGATTGATAGTTGTGTTTAATTTCATTGCTGTATTAGCAAATTAAGAAATCTTATTATTTGGTAATTTGATTCCAAGATGCAGCCTGTGCCGAATTTTAAAATTTTATAAGAATTATATAAACATGAATGAAATATCAGAGACAAAAATTAAAAAAGGAACAGACAAAAGGAAAATTTTTAACAGAGAATCCCCTTAAAAAAACAAAAATCATAAAAAAAAACCAAAACAAACTTACACAAAAATACTTTTCTTGTGAGATTTCCTCTTCTAAATAAAGTTTTTTATATTTCAATCTATCAAAATATTGGTAATACATTGTAATAAAAATAGATTATTGATCAGATAAAATTGTATACATTTCATTAATTAAACGAAAAGTCCACATTGAATAGTTTTTTGCTTCTTCTGAAACTGCAATTACAAATTTGCGTCTTTTGTGTTTTCATGTTTTATGTAATTCGTGATCATAATTGACGGACTAACCCTATATGTATACAATTTTCGACAGTACAAAAAAAAAAAAGATATATAAATAGAGACATCTAATTATTTAAATAACAGAAGTAATACAGCGTACATTGATATAAAAATTAAAGAACCTATGTGAGCACGCTAACATACCCCACGCTCCCACATTGTCACTTGGTAAACAAAATTTCACCAGATTCCTAAATTCAAAGACTCATAACTGCTACAAAAGTCAACTGATAAAACTTTCTTGTTGATATGCACATCTACATAGTATGTCCTAATTATCTACAAAATTTCTAGAAATTCTGTTGTGTGGATTCAGAGGAGTTGCAATGACAAACTGTTGCAGTAGTATATTAAGGCCAAAATTCTATGTTCAAATGGGCATAACTTCTAGAAAAACAAATGGAATCATAATTTCCTACCGATATGCACATCTACATAGTATGTTCTTGTTATCTACCTACAAAGTTTCGTGAAATTCTGTTGTGTGGTTACAGAGGAGTTGCGATGATAAGAACATGACTGACGGACTCACGGACGGACGGACTGACGGACAGACGGACAGACGGGCCAAAATCGTTATACCCTACGGAACTTCGTTCTTCGGGGTATAAATAGTTTAGTTTCAGTGATAAAGTAATAACCAACCTTTGAAAGTTGTTTTCAAGCTTGTAGACGGCAACGTAATGCACCCCAAAACATGGTGACATCTATATAAAAGAAAATATATGGTTGTTATTCAAATATTGGCAACACCGAATGTATATTATCTCCAAAAACAACTTTGAAAAAATAATAATTAATAATGATAGATAAGCATTACAACTATAGTATACTATACTCTAACCAAGATGCCCATGTCAAATGACTAGTAACATAAATTTAAGTTATATACAAAATCGTTCGAATCAAAAGAACACACACGTTTTCTTTAAGGGTTTAATTCGCAACAGAATGTACAAAATTACGTCCATTGAATGACAACATATCATAAAAAAAATGAAACTGAAAAAGTATTATAAATCTACCATTATGGATATAACTTCTCTCAAATATCAATGTTCATTAGATATTAGTCAGTCAGATACCAATTTTTGTAGTTTTGATATTTGGTCTTATATTATTATGAGGGCTTTAAATGTACTTGCACATGTTGCAGTTTATGCAAAACTGAGAACAAAAACATCAATTTAAAAGGCTGGAATATTTTAACTACATTATTTAGCATTTCAAGAGCTCCAGTTATACCTCCTTTCTTTCTTTATACTATAAACACTAGATAATAATGTATTGTATCTCTTTTGTCCAATATCACTTATTGTACATTGTGTACTCTGTTATTATAGAAATAGAAGCCTTAGCGATAACATTTGTAATATTTACGTTTGGTGTTCCGTGCAGCTGCATGAATGGAGGCATTTTGCACCATAGTTTTCCCTTCTACATTGCTGACAACTACCTCCATCTTTAGACATGAAACCTTTTTCACATACTGAAAATAGAGGAAATAACAATTTAAATAACGCAGCAAGAAAAGAAACCCACATACATGCAACATGTTTCCGTACAAATAAACAAGTGTTTCACGTGAAACATTTATAGAAAAGGGAATTTAACTGCAACTTTTAAGTATTTTCAACGATTCAATATTTTTGATTTACTAAGCAACAACTTTTCCCATAAGGCTTATATATAACAGAAAATAAGATTTTCGCCATCATTTAAGCACACTTAAATGTTGTAAGTACTCATTACGTCGAAGTAACATTGTCAGCACTGATTCAAATTTTAATTCATAGTTTTCGATATTCTGACCAATTGTGTCTGCCATGTAATTGTAAAATATAATGGATTTTTTTATAATTCTAAATCCAAATGATGTATTTGGCATAGACAATCATAATTTATATCTTGTTAATATATTTTGATATAATTTATTCACATATCAAGTCCCATGCTTCTTTAAAATGGACAATAAACTAACTAAAATCCCCGAACTTAACGCTTTACCAAACGTTGGTGCGACAAACAGATGTTAGACACAAAGTACTCAATTCAGTTTCATGGGCAGGATGTATTTTATAATAATTTTAAAACAATTACCTGTACAAGTCCCATTTTTTATTTCGTAGTTTGCACAGCAGTATTGTTCGTCCACATATTCGTTCCCACGCCTACAAAAAAAATACGTGTTTAATTAACTACTTCTGGCTGAATTCTCACATTTCCTTAAATTTAAGATGAGATCGTGACTTATTTTCTTCATTTCTTATCAAAACGTGTATTTATGCATTTGGTAATTTCCAAGGTGTAATCTCAGCTTTTTTAATAATATCAAATCACGCAAATTCGAAATTGAAACTACAAATTGAAAACAAACAATTTCCGTGAGTCCGAAGCGCTTTTTGGGGATTTATCTTCATCAGAAACTCTCTAGCCTAAACTTTTGAAAGGCTTTAGCTTTAACATGTGCCGTGAAATTTTTTATGTTAGTACATTAAAAATAGTATTAAAAATGATTCTAATTATGAGTATTCTACTATACTATATTCATAAGAAGCAATGATTTAAACTAGAAACCACAGGAATAGGAATATTGAATTACCTAAAAACTAAAAAAAAAACCAACCGTTGTGTCTTACCTTTCAAGGTTGAACTTAGTTATTTCGACTATTTTTTTTTTATTTAGGTCTATGTTATTTATTTTTATGTCCACTTTGGTCCTTTTTGGTCATAAAGCTCCTCACGTTCTCAGGTGTTTGTACTTGACTTTAATTTTCTTTAATTTGGGCGTTCGTAATGAAAGTAAATCAGGAAGCGATTCGGACGCATGCAATTTATAATCGGATATTTTTACTTCACATCTATGTTCATGGTTAACATGGTAAAAATACACTCAGGAGTCTGTGGCCTTTGTTAGTCTTGTATGTTTTTTTCAATTTTAGTTCATTTATATGTTTCAGAGTTAAGTGTGACGTCCATTTTCACTGAACTAGTACACATTTGTGTTAAGGGGCCAGCTGAAGCCCGCCTCCGGGTGCGGGATTTTCACTCTGTGTTGAAGACCCATTGGTGGCCTTGGGCTGATTTCTGCTCTTTGGTCGGGTTGTTGTCTCTTTGACACATTCCCCATTTCAGTTCTAAATTTTACTATTACATGTAAACTTATTATCATTTACCGGGGCAGAAATCATTTCCGTTCCGTTCAGCAATAAGTCTTCTCGAATTTTGCAGCTTTATGTATATCAAATGCTTTCTCCTCAACAACATTTTGGCTATAAACAACTGGTAAAAAACTTTCGACAAATCATTTTAAGTTTAGGTAAACAGAACGTAGACTGCTTAAAGATATCCGGCCATTGCAACTCATCAAGTGCCTGTCTAGGGTTTAGTAACCAATAACACACCACACACACCACAAAAGTAACAGCTTAAGACGTTTCCACATGTTTTAAAACTTGAAGCATCGTTCAAATATCGTGTTACGAAAAAAATCCTTATTTTATTAAAGGCCAGATATTTATTCTTCCCAATTGACTTTAACATTTTTTTTAGAATGAAGGATTTGTAGGTGTAGACTTTTAAAATTTTCGTTAAACAATGATGTTTGATTTCAATTTGGCAGAAATAAAAAAAAATCAAGGGCTGTATCCTCTATTTAATCGTCTGTCACAATTCTGGTAATTTTGGTCAGTAGTTTTATGAAAAAGCGCATATTTCATTTTCACAACTGTTCGTAGTAATATAACATTAACAGTACTTCGAATATTGAACTTTAATTTACACTGTAATTGAACAGCACGTTATAAGAAGTTACAACGATAATACAGAATTGTAAAAAAACATCAGATCGATTTTAAGATTATAAACCTGAAAATCGCTTAGTGGTGTCAGAGGTTAACCAATAAAAGTTATCAAACTGATAACGATTATAAACACAGTGACTGTAGTACTTCAGATAAAAATAAATAAATTGAATAATGACACATTAAATCATAGGAATATTTATATACATGCTCATATTGAGATACACCAGTAAGCTGATGAAAACAAAGAACAAAATAATTTCTACATTACCATACTTTCTTACGGCAAACACCTGCTTCTCCGTAAACACATGAAATTAAATCAAACTCTAAAATAATAAAACTTAACATCAATTTACAGAAACTATAATCCATTGTAGGATCGACAATGAATAAATCACGGAAATTATTTGAAACAAAGAGTGCTTATCAAAATAACCTCTAAACAATCAAAGGAAATCCTGTACAGAAAAATCGAAAATGAATGAACTATGAAGTTTCATCAATGTAAATTAGAACTTTCACCTAACTGTAAACGCAGACTTATATCTCTAATGCATTATTGACATCAACTTAATTTTAATATTTCAGCATATTGTAACTTTTTGAAAAGTAAATATGAAACAGTTCTTAATCAATATAAAAGTAAGGAGATGTAGTATGAGTGGTTATTTAGGCATAAAAATGAATCACAAGTTAAACAATCATAACACACTGGCCTAGCAGATATATCAATTTTCATTAGACTTTACTTCAAAAAGTTTGTACGTTGATTTCCAAATTCACGAAACTATATTTAATAATGGTGAGATAAATCAAGTGGACAATGTAGTTTCAAGAGAACCGATAGGTTAATATGAACTTCTACAAAATGGAACTGTAACATTGTTTGTCTTCTCAAATCAACTGTAATAGTGTCATAAATATGGCGACTCTCGTTATTCTTACTACAGATACCAATGCAAAGAAAACCGATATAAAAGTATGTCTTATGCAATAAATCTATCAAATATAGTCTTTATAAATCATTTCGACAGTAACTTTTATGCAGCAAATGCATTCTGGTAAAAAAGTATCAAGACTGGCAAACGCATTAAATAATATCGAACAACTTGTTGTGGTTATAATACTTGACCAAACGGTATTCAAAAGTGTCGTTGTGTGATTTACATCTAAGTAGTATCCCGCAAAAACGAAAGATTTAAAATATCAATACGTTCATTCATTATACATGTACTACATATTCACGTCTAAACGAAAAAAAAAACTGCTATTACAAAGTATTACACTGTTCCAAATATGTATTGGCTCCTTAAGTATACATCAATTTTAGAAGTTTTCTTTTATCATATAGCAAAATCTCAAATACAAACTTAAGATATTTTTGCTAGTGAAAAGTGCAGTTACAGTCGTTAATACATTCATTAACTAATTTTCTGACAAAGACTTTGATTATAACTTAATCAACTATTTTGAGTTTTAGTAATGTCTTTGCAAATTTTGAATAACCTGAATTACTTTGATGGTGCATTGTATATTTTTTATTTATGCCTTCAAAATATTTGTATTCATGTTATGCCTTCAAAGTAATTCAAGATCCGTTTAAGTGGTACGTAATGAATTATTATTATTAAACAATTTTTTTCACGTTTTCTTATTTGCCTCTTACCGATAAATAAACTAGTGGAAAGAGGCCAATACTCTTTGACGAATCTTGGGTTAGCTACACGTTTCATTTGAATTTACATTGGAATAAATTATATAACCAATTATACTAACCTTGACTTCAAAAACAACAAAGTTGCTCAACACTTCGGGATTTGACCTTTATGCACATACAGAAAATTTGGTTTATCAATTGTTCAAGATTTTTTATTTTGTACATATTGAACAATTGTATAACTTGCCGTTTTCTGTCATTGCCAAATCATATAAGTTTGGAAAGACAATAAATATCCGCCCCTTATATGTTGCCTCTTAGTGTTATTATTGTATTGCAAATGTATTGATTACGTCTATTAAATCAGCTTAATTTTTGATAAATCTAACTTGAAATTCTTTTATTAGTAAGACCTACAACACGTACACTTATTCACCATTCTGATATGTGACTAAAGTCAAATGTTGGCTCCTTTTTACCGGTTGTTCTTTCATATTTAGCTCAATATGCAGTGATGCATTTGATAAATCTCAAACAGTATTCACAGAAGTCTTAATGTTTCAGTTGTCTCTATGTGTGAGAGTTTGCAGTGGCCTGCCCGATGTCTGCAGGTAACAGTTTTTATAGCTAATAATTATAAAACAGGGAGAAAGATTTTAAATTGTTCAGATTTGTCATTTTCTACTAGTTAAGGTATTTATTGTGGAAGTATCATACCAACTGCATGAATTTATGGAAACATGATATCCCATACCCATTAACGTTAACGATATTTGTAAAACTCTCAAATGTAGAAATTATTTGTTGAATTAAAAGTTTTTTCGTATTAACTGTATTGACCAATACTATAAGTAGGAACATTCCAGCAGCGCCTCAATAGGAAGTATCTTCCAGTTGTTACGATATTTCATATTTATGTTTCCTAACATGATTTTCATGATAGGTAGTTGCCAGTTACAACTGTTGAAATACGAGATCTAAGTGGTAAAATTGAAGTCATGAGTATCTATGAAACAAATGACCACGGATATGTTCCAATTGTTGTAACCACAATCACGTCCACTTGTTCCTAGATTGTGACATTGTCGACTTAGACGTGTACTTGCATGTGTAGCTAGACGGTTGCCACATGTTGTGCAGAAGCTACTCTTCCGGAGCACCGGAGTTTATCCCCTTTTTGATGGGGTTCGTGTTGCTCAGTATAAATTCCATGTAATGCTTTGTAGACTTTTTCGTCTTTTCATCGTTTTTCTTTTTTTTGCTATGGCGTGTCAGTTTTTCTTCGACTTATGAGTTTTGAATGTCCATTGGTATACTCCGCCTCTTTTTTACTGTTTTCTTTCAGTCGTTTTGTATCTTCTTGAACGAAGAACTGCCTAGCCTTCAGGGTTCGCTACCGGTTTTTCCTGGGGTTATTGCTGCTTGATATTTTCTTTTCCTAGTGGTGCTGTATTGATTCTTTTTGTCTGTCTCCTTATGGTTGTTGTATTTTTGTAAGTTTTCTATTGCCCCTCGGAAATGGTTTACTAGTTCCCCTTTAAACTAGTTTACAATACGTTCTTTTAAGTATTATTTGTTATCAGACAGACCGATTTAATCATATAAATGGTTAGGTTGAGGTGTCACAACAGTCATACATGTTCGTTAATTATTCTTTTTTGTTTTATTGTTCCTTAGAACATTTTGTATAATTGTAGAAATTATTTGTTGAATTAAAAGTTTTTTCGTAATATCTGTATTGACCAATACTATAAGTAGGAACATTCCAGCAGCGCCTCAATAGGAAGTATCTTCCAGTTGTTACGATATTTCATATTTATGTTTCCTAACATGATTTTCATGATAGGTAGTTGCCAGTTACAACTGTTAAAATACGAGATCTAAGTGGTAAAATTGAAGTCATGAGTATCTTTGAAACAAATGACCACGGATATGTTCCAATTGTTGTAACCACAATCACGTCCACTTGTTCCTAGATTGCGACATTGTCGACTTAGACGTGTACTTGCATGTGTAGCTAGACGGTTGCCACATGTTGTGCAGAAGCTACTCTTCCGGAGCACCGGAGTTTATCCCCTTTTTGATGGGGTTCGTGTTGCTCAGTATAAATTCCATGTAATGCTTTGTAGACTTTTCCGTCTTTTCATCGTTTTTCTTTTTTTTGCTATGGCGTGTCAGTTTTTCTTCGACTTATGAGTTTTGAATGTCCATTGGTATACTCCGCCTCTTTTTTACTGTTTTCGTTCAGTCGTTTTGTATCTTCTTGAACGAAGAACTGCCTAGCCTTCAGGGTTCGCTACCGGTTTTTCCTGGGGTTATTGCTGCTTGATATTTTCTTTTCCTAGTGGTGCTGTATTGATTCTTTTTGTCTGTCTCCTTATGGTTGTTGTATTTTTGTAAGTTTTTTATTGCCCCTCGGAAATGGTTTACTAGTTCCCCTTTAAACTAGTTTACAATACGTTCTTTTAAGTATTATTTGTTATCAGACAGACCGATTTAATCATATAAATGGTTAGGTTGAGGTGTCACAACAGTCATACATGTTCGTTAATTATTCTTTTTTGTTTTATTGTTCCTTAGAGCATTTTGTATAATTGTAGAAATTATTTGTTGAATTAAAAGTTTTTTCGTAATATCTGTATTGACCAATACTATAAGTAGGAACATTCCAGCAGCGCCTCAATAGGAAGTATCTTCCAGTTGTTACGATATTTCATATTTATGTTTCCTAACATGATTTTCATGATAGGTAGTTGCCAGTTACAACTGTTAAAATACGAGATCTAAGTGGTAAAATTGAAGTCATGAGTATCTTTGAAACAAATGACCACGGATATGTTCCAATTGTTGTAACCACAATCACGTCCACTTGTTCCTAGATTGTGACATTGTCGACTTAGACGTGTACTTGCATGTGTAGCTAGACGGTTGCCACATGTTGTGCAGAAGCTACTCTTCCGGAGCACCGGAGTTTGGGGTTCGTGTTGCTCAGTATAAATTCCATGTAATGCTTTGTAGACTTTTTCGTCTTTTCATCGTTTTTCGTTTTTTTGCTATGGCGTGTCAGTTTTTCTTCGACTTATGAGTTTTGAATGTCCATTGGTATACTCCGCCTCTTTTTTACTGTTTTCGTTCAGTCGTTTTGTATCTTCTTGAACGAAGAACTGCCTAGCCTTCAGGGTTCGCTACCGGTTTTTCCTGGGGTTATTGCTGCTTGATATTTTCTTTTCCTAGTGGTGCTGCATTGATTCTTTTTGTCTGTCTCCTTATGGTTGTTGTATTTTTGTAAGTTTTCTATTGCCCCTCGGAAATGGTTTACTAGTTCCCCTTTAAACTAGTTTACAATACGTTCTTTTAAGTATTATTTGTTATCAGACAGACCGATTTAATCATATAAATGGTTAGGTTGAGGTGTCACAACAGTCATACATGTTCGTTAATTATTCTTTTTTGTTTTATTTTCCCTTAGAACATTTTGTATAATTGATAAATCTTTGGAAGTGTCTGTTAATTTTCTTCACACCTTTTATGACTAAGTACGATTGAAAGATTTACATGTTGTTAACAAATTTTCACTTAACTAGTACACATTTTTTGTTTAAGGGCCAGCTGAAGCCCGCCTCCGGGTGCGAGATTGTCTCGCTGTGTTGAAGACCTATTGGTGGCCGTGGGCTGTTTTCTGCTTTTTGGTCGGGTTGTTGTCTCTTTGATACATTCCCCGTTTCCATTCTCAATTGTATTGTCTATTGTTGCAGGTTGTTAATAAAGAAAATGCAATTTCCCATAGGAACTCCTTTAACGACTAAAACTGTGCTATGTGTAATATGAAGTTTCGTAAACAAATATATCCTAGAATGCAAAGTTCATAAGCACTACAATTTCGTCCAAAGGTCAAAACATACTGATGTTCGGCATATTTTTAATATTTATATGCCTCGAACATTTGAGTTTAAACTTAAACTAAAATTCTGTACTACCCCTTCATTCACTTTAGGTCTTCCTCAGAATTCAATTTGGCCGCTATCTATGTGTATTTATACTAGTAGAATTCACAAGTTGTGTCTCTATGAGATGAAACATAGATATCATATCTATCAGTAGGTAAACAAAACAAAATATCTATGATCAATAAATATCTCCCCAAAAGAAGTGTGGTTTGTGAAACAGTTGAATTTACAAAGTGCAACCTGCAGACTCATTTTGGGTATAAATCATTTGGACAGCAAATTTGCGACACAAAAAGTCACAATATATTGTATTCACTAGAGCGTCGTTTTGGTCTTCAAATAATGAATTTCGTCTAACTACCTATCATATAACAATAACGTAGTTTTTATTTTGTTCAAAGCTTAAATACTTACTAATTAGACACAATGTTAGATGAGTTTCAAAATTACAACTTTCATGTTGAATTTTAATATAAATATTGATACATCTTATTCTTAACAGTCTTATGAGAAAGAAAGACTGAAATCATAAGTGAGAGGTTTAGCTAGCTACAAAATCAGGTTCAATCCACCTGTTTCTACATAAGGAAAATGCCTGTACCAAGTCAGGAATATGACAGTTGTTTTCCATTCGTTTGATGTGTTTGAGTCATTTCTTAAGGGACTTTCCCGTTTAAAATTTTCTTGGAGTTTCGTATTTTTGGTATTTTACTATTTTCACAATACATAATTGATAATGTATCGGTGTCTAAACTTTGAAGCAAAATGTTCTGGCAGTCTTAGAAATACAGATTTTCGAATTGTCGTCTGGTCTGTCGTATTCCCTAGTATTGTGAGTTGTAACAATCGACTGAATGCGGATTTTAGTCTTGTGTACATTATTTTTTTATTAGTTGCAACTTGCTTAAAACTAGCTTTCAGTCATCTAAATACTCTCGAATCAGTTCTTCGTGTTTTACATGGTTTTGTTGGGTTTTTTGTTTGCTTTGTATCAATTTGATGAGTCATAAATAAAGGCAACAGTAGTATACCGCTGTTCAATAGTCATAATTTGATTAAGCAAAAACAAATCCGGGTAACAAACTTAAACCAAGGGAAACACATCACCTATAAGAGGAAAACAACGGAACAACAGAAGCACTAAACTACAACAAAAGCAAACGCCAACATACATAGAAGCAGACTGTCTGATAACAACTGCCATATTCCTGGCTTTGTACAGGACATTTTAAGAAAAAACAGTGGGTTGATCCTGGATTTATGGCAAGCCAAACCTCCCGCTTATATCATGCCTTTTCAACTGATTTTCATGGTTGGTTCTTATGTTTCCCTGTTCTACTTCTTTCTAACCTCGGGTAAAAGGGGGAGGCTGCGCCTGCAAACATGTTTAACCCCGCAACATTTTTTATGTGTCTGTCCCAAGTTAGGAGCATCTTGTTCAGTGGTTGTCGTTGGTTAATATCTGTCATATTTGTTTTTCGTTAATTGTTTTGTTATAAAAAAGGCAGTTAGTTTTCTCAATTGAATTGTTTCATAATCTTCATGTCGGGGCCTTTTATAGCCGACTATACGGTATGGGTTTGTTGAAGGCCGTATGGTTGCCTATAATTGCATACATCCACTTTATTTGAACTTTGGTAGATAGTTGTCTCATTAACAATCATACCTCATCTCCTTATTTTTATACTAACCGGTTTAAATCGTTCTTCATTTTGTCATGTCGGGGCCTCTTATAGATTATATGCGGTTTGAGTTTTGCTCATTATCAAAGGCCGTACAGTAACCTATAGTTGCTTACACCTTTGTAATTTGGTCTCCTCTGGTGTATAATTGTCTCATTGGCAATGATACCACATATGTCATATTGCATGACGGGTGATACATTCACAAATTGGAGGCACTTATCTTATCGATGCATCCGATTTCGCACCGTTTAGAGATAATGCGAAACCATGTTTTTTTTTAATTTAATTGTATAGTGAAAATGAGTTTACGAATTTCGGATATCGGTACCCTATTCTTGCCTCTTACTTAAAATTTGTTTGTTCAAAACTAGACCATTAAAGTCTACAAAGCCTGAAATTCGACAATTTGGATCTCTAGCTCTAAAGTATGTCTGTCAGAAGTCTAACTTTGAACTACAAAATTGAAAATAAAAAATGCAATTTTAAATTCAAAATAGTTAATGTTCAACATTCTTTATTAACATACAAACTATATCACGGAGCTTCATAGCTTTTCAAAATTAAATTCATTACTTCCTTTCTTTTTTTCTTTGGAAGAAAAATTCTTTAAACTCTTCATAAGCAAGCAAGCATTCATCACGCGCTTCTTCTCTAACTACTTCAAGCCTCTTTTGGTAATAATAATGCAACTCGTTTAATTCGCGATCACGTTGCTCTATAGAGATTACTGCTAAGTTTTCTGAACTGCCTTGGGTAAACTGAATTACATTTTTCATTTTTTCGTCTACTTCTCGTTGGTGTTCCTGTCTGATTTTTTCTTCTATTATTCGCTCTTTTCCTTGCACTCTGCGTTCGGCTTTCATTATTGCGTCATCAGTATAATGAAGCAAGCCATTTTTCAGTTTAACTGCCTCAATTGCGTTCATTAGACACATTATATATTGCTCTTTATCTCGCTCATTAGCCTCATTGTTCATTAAACAGTAATGTCTTCCACATTCATCTAGAAACCTTTGTAATTCAGGTACTTTTTGCAGCCATGTCTCCAACGTCTGATATTCCTTAACTTTGTCTGCATGTGTGAACACGATTATCACAAACTGTTTTAGTTTTTCTCCGAAGTATTTTAGAAATGTTTTAATTGATTCAAAATCGTCTTGTCTGATGCGACCAAACTCGATTATGAATAAAATTGCATGTGGGCCAGGTGCTGCTAAATGGATACACCGTTTTATTTCTAATTCAGTTTCCTTTTCCTTCTCATTTATGGCAAATATGCCTGGTGTGTCAATTAAGAGAAATGGTTTATGTCCCCAGGTCCCCTTTGCGGTCATACATTTTTCTGTTACTGGTGTAGGGTCATCACCTGCCTGAAAAAACCTACGTCCAAGTAATGTATTCGCTGTTGAACTCTTTCCCACACCAGTTTTTCCAACTAAAACAATGCGAGTCTCTTCTTCTACAAAATACACATTCAAATACGAAAATATAATCAAATTGAAACAAAACAAGAAAATCCTAAGAGCCTGAATCGCTATCTAATTAAATATATATCTTGTATTGCAGATCATTTTTGTTGTTTACATTCCCTACCTCTCTTTTTAAGTTTTCGAGATAAAAAGCACTAATCCGAAAATGTTTCAACAATCGTCTTTTGAGAGTATCAACTCATATAAGGAGACATCCACTTGTTTTGATAATATTGCCATTTTGTAGACCTTGTATTCCTGTTTAGTTGTGCGTTTACAACTTCTACCCATCTAATGAAATAAGGAAACAACTCGAAAATAAATCACAACTATCACTTAAGAACAATAAATCCTACAAGGAGTCATCCACCGCTTTTGGTCCTACATAAATCTGCACCTTTGTAGCATCTGTTTTACTGAATAATGTTGCTGTTTAAGTTTGCTACTATCTATAACAGTTGTTTGGAGTAATGAGCAAAGAAATGAAAATTAATCAAAAATTTTCATTTCAGTGCAATTATTCTCAAAGGAGTAACCTAAAACTTTTGGGGTATAGACAATATTAATCTTTATATGTTGACATTCTTGCATTTGTGTTCCTGTTTTTTTCTTCTTTATCTATTACATGTATTATGGTTTTCAAAATATTTTTCTTCTGTTTTAGCAAAAGCGATCCAGTTGGTTGAATTGAAGGAGAAAACAACTAGTTGCCCTATGGATTAATCGGTTCAATATAAAAATATGTGAAGATGTGAAGATGTGAAGATGTGAAGATGCGGTATTATTGTTATGAGACAGCTATCCACAAGAGATCAAATAACGTTGATGTAAACAACTATAGATCACAATACATGCTTCAACAATGGGCTAAACCCATAAACAATGAGGCAAACCCATTCTGTATAGTAAGCTATAAAATGTCAAGACATGACAAACGTTAAACAATTCAAAAGAGAAAACTAAAGGTCTGATTTTAGTACAAAAATTAAACAAAAAACAATATGATAGGCAGTCCTTTTACTTTTATCAGCTCTTCAATTTTTAATACGTTTTTGAGTTTAATATATATTTTGGCATCGAGCATCATTGAAGATACATTCGTTGTCTAAATGTGCAACTGGTGCAAAAAAAAAAAAAAAACTGGTACCGGTAATTTTATTTCAGAATAGGAGATTTAAGAAAAGTATAGGTCCGGTGACCCATAAAATCACCTCAATTAGAAAATTTGTATGGAAATTATAAAAGCGCATTTGTGAATTAACATATATTGTGGTGATCATATACTAAATACATATTCAGGAAGTTAGAACGAAAGATATAAAATAACTACGCATAACAAAAATATCCACCTCCTAAAAAGATTCTATACAGTACATAGTCTATTCCTATCAGTACTTCTATTTGATAGCAGAATTACATTCTTGAGATAACTTTTGTTTCTGGTATCTGACATCTGACTGTTGATGTTCATGTTTTACATTAACACATCTGTCCAATAAGAAAAAACGAGATGTGTTATTATTGCCAATTCAATGAGACGACTATCCACTCACCAGAGTTCAATGACGTGGATGTAAGAAATTGTAGGTCACCGTACATCCTTCAAGAATGCGAAAACTTAAACCATAGAACTACCTATTAAAGGGCCTGATATGAAAAATGCGAAACGATTCAAACGAGAAAACTAACAGCTTAATTTATAACAATTCAATATACGAAAAATAGATACGACAGATTCGAACAAACAATAACCACAAACTTACAGGCTCCTTACTTTGGACAGATACATAGAGAATGTGACGGGGTTAAACATGTTTGTGAGGGCTCAACACTGCCCCTGGGACAGAGGTGTAGCAGCACAACATACAGGCAAACTATAACTAGAGGCTCTAAAGAGTCTGTGTCGTTCACCTGCATCTTCAACAATGGCTCCTTTATAGTAAAAATCATCGTTAAAGGTCTATAACTCTTTAAGAATTAACCGACAATTTCAGTCATGTTGACATATTTGTAGATCTTATCCTGCTGATAATTTTTCCTTTTTAAAGTTTTCCTTTTTTCTATGAAAGTTTTCAAGAAAAAAGCAAAAAAATGTTAAAATTATCATTAAAAGGTAATAAGGTGTTTACTGAAAATTTCGGCAATGTTGGCTTATTTGTAGATCTTATCTTGCTGATTATTTGTCCTATTTAAAGTTTCTATCCATCTTATATAGCTTTTAAGATATTAAGCAATAACTATAAAAAAGAGTCGACTAAAGATTTCAGCTATTTTGACTTTTTTGTAGATCTTGTATTGTTGATCATTTTTGCTATTTAAAATTTCTGTCTACCTATTACATGTATTATAATCTTCGAGATAATAGCCAAAACGTTAAAAAAAAAAAAAAACAACAACAAAAAACCAGATAAAATTCATAATTTAAGGGCAATCACTCCTATAAGAAGTCGTCTGATAGTTTTGACGTACACGAACAATAGGTAGAGTTTAACATTCTGAACATTTCAGCATTGTCAGATTTTCTCTGTTTATAGCAATTTTTAAAATATTAAATAGGGAAAACTTGCATTTTACCCCTATTTTCTATTTTTAGCAATGTCGGCCATCTTGATTGGCTAGCGGGGTCATCGGACACATTTTGTTAAACTAGATAACCCAATGATGATTATGGCCAAGTTTGGTTAAATGTGGCCTGATAGTTCCAGAGGAGAAGATTTTTGTAAAAGTTAACAGACGACGACGGACGACGACGACGGACGACGGAAAATGTACACAAAGTGATGAGAATAGCTCACTTGGCCTTTTAGGCCAGGTGAGCTAAAATCATTTGCAATAGGCTTTTTTTTCAATAGATTATAATGAAGCACAAAAACATATCTAACCAAAATACAATAGACACAAACCACCGTTAAATTCTCCCTCGACCTGCTCGTCCGAATTCACCCTGCTCGTCCGAATTTAAAGTATTTCTGCTCTAAATTCAATTGGCTATAAACAAGACAAACACAGAAATAGGATTAGTTTTTTGCAGTAACATATTATGTTCTCTTGCGATACAATTTTTATTTTAAATAATTGTACAGAATTTTACCACTCAAAAACATATTAATACCGTCATGTAATAAACGTAGCAGCAACTGTTTACATGTATATACTAATGTGACTAACTTCGATTCGACGTAACTGCGAGCACCTTTGATACTAAAACATTTAAATTCCAAACTTTATATAGTACCATAAAACCCCACCCGCAGAAACCGCCAAAACTTTTCTCATGCCTTATGCACCTAACATCAAACTTTATAAATAGTAAGTACTGTTGCAGAACTAGTTATATTAGTTCCCATCTGTATATAAGACCTACAAATAGCAAACAGGAAAACCCAAATTTTAAACGAAATAAAATATATATATCAGAGTACTTACAACTGACCTGTTCAATCTTGAGTTTTAAAAGACTATAATCAGTTTCATGTACAAATCATCAACACGGAAATATTAACATTGAACAGCATATTAGGCATTTAGATTTTCTACATCACCTGAGTTGTCTCTCCATCATGCGTGTTGATTATTTTTAATCACTTAAACGTTATCCATCGTTGAGCTGACACGCTGTCATCATATCCCTTTAGAGCAGTTAATTTTATTTAAATTCCATATATACGACCACTACTTTAAAGTTGTATATGGAAAGACAAATGTTTGTTCTAAATTAATAGCACAATTTACAACAGCTTAATGCATCTGTACAACATAAAATTATGTGTTGATTGGTGGCGAATTCTGAAAAGCTCAATAAAACGCTAAACAACATCTTCCAAAAATATTTCGTTAAAGTCTAGACCTACTCTGTTATGATATCTCATTACAAAGACAAATTTGTTGCAAACTATAAAGTATCTGTGATATCATTTATTTCATGTCTAATGGGATAGATTCGATCACCGTAGTTACCAAACTTTGAATTATTTAGAGAAGACTTTATTTAAGATTTAGAGACTCTATATAGACAAATGTGAAGTTAATTGGTAATTTCTTTTCGGTTTTCTTGAAAAGTCCCTGTATGAAGAGAAACGCATATCTAGGGAAAATGTGGGGTATTTATTCCCCATTGGAATACGAGTTGTGTTTAAAAGCACATGCCTGAATCCTAACATGTATGTTGTCAATCGGCACATCCAGCAATATAATGCTTGTTATTCCCTTTCCGACAAAGCCGTTGCTTGTTAGTCCCCTACCGACAAGGCCAAAGGGGAATTAAGGTTTGAACTGCGTCCGTCCATCAGGTCCGGAAAATTAGTTTTTCATACTTTTTTCTACGTGCTTGAAAATAATGATTTGATATTTGGTATAAAGTTTTTTCATGACCAGTTACTAATCAATTTCGAATTTTGTTCGATTCAGATGATTTTTTTGCATAGATATAGTCCTCTGACTTAGCAAATTAACGCAAATAATCATTTTTCCACACTTTTTTTCGTCATGCTTGAATATATTGATTTGAAATTTATTATCTAGTTTAACAATGACAAGATGTAGATCAAGTTCAAATATTACTCTGTTCCGATGGTGTTTCTGTCGACCTGTCTATTGATCATGTTGATACAACTCCTTTAGTGAAACTTTATTCACAAGAAAACATTTTCATATATTTTAGTAGTAATCAGATTTTGTTTTCAATATTTGCAACAGGAGATATTTGGACTTGGATACAGATTTTCAAATTACCGATTAAGGTACCATTTTGTCCCAGTACTATATAAATAACACATAGCTGAAAGGATGATAGAGCAGATTGTTTCCCCGAAAAAACATTGTCAACTGAGGCAAGGTTGACAATGTTTTTTCGAGGGTAACAGTCTACTCTATCACCCTCTCAGCTATGTGCTTTTTTCATTTATTAAACTGAATGTTCTGTTATTACTGTCTATTAAAATTCAAACGCAAAGTAATACACTATGAAGTCTTTTACAAAACAACCATCCGTATTAATAGAGCAGTTAATCAAGCGTGTCCGTGAAGGATAATATAGTATTTAGCCATGGGAAAGAGTAGATTATCTCCCTCGTATCAACCAATCAAAATCTAGCATTTTAACATGAAGTATAATAAAAATATTTGTTAACCTGTAAGGGACTATGTATTGCTATGCAATACTCTTAGAATGCTTGTCGTTTTTGTAATTGCATGAATATTCTACTTGAGATATTGTTCAACTTACCAAGAAATTTTCTTGCTTTTCTCCTTGCTTCTTTTGCGTCTACACCCAGCAGTACAACTTGTGCCGACGAGGGAAAACCATCACTTGCATCTAGATAACATGGTAAAAAAGTAAATATAATATAAAAATATTCAACCTATTTGTGATTGAAAATAGTATGGAGCTATTGGAATCAAAACAATCATTAACAAATAATCAAAACAGCAATAAAAAAGTAAAGTGAAATGAATGCGAAAATGAAGCTATCATATAAACACAGGTTAATTCATGTAATTATACACCATAAGTGGATAATTTGTATTATTGCAGTTCATAATTGTTACGATTGAATTATCTTATGCCATGATGCAAATCATCACAATACGAGACAATGAATGTATAAAGTAGAAAATGTGAAAACATTATTTGTTTCTTTGTTTTCTTGTATTGTATAAACAAGATAAAAGGGAGATACTCCACAAAAACATTCTTAATTTTATTCTATGTAAAAGGGTCTGATGTTAAAATCATGCAAACTACTATAAATGACACAAAAATATGAATCAATTAACAGATTGTCTGTCAACCCTGTAATACAGTGGATTCGTTTATTTTCGTGGGTTTCAATTTTTGTTGGTTGAGAAAACTTTAATTTTTAAACACATAAACCAATGAACGGACTGTATATTAGTTTTTATGATGAAGGTCGGGTTAACGCACCAATGAACTCTTTTTTTTTTACTTATAACGCAAATATTAGGCACTAAAATTATGTCCGTATCTGAAACTTCATCAACATTAACTGAATAAACAATTTTGTCTGAGTAGGAATTCATACTCATTTCATCATTATACAGGTTTATACATGCATACATGTTTTGATTGACATGACGTTCAACAATGAAATAAGATATAACATGCAACATTGGAATTTTAAACGTATGTTACCATTTACAATTATATGAAACTTATTTGCATACGATATTCCAATGCAGTCTGGTACCTTTGATTATGTTTCAATGCAAAGCACTTGCTAAAGAGAGGGTTCGTGTCTTTAAGCAAGCAAATGAACCAGCGGTTCCCAATGACGGTTGGTTTCCATTTCGTCGTTTGTGTTTTCGGTCATAATATGGTCATCTGTTGTTTTTTTGTTTTGTTTTTTTACATATATATGATTTAAGGAACGTCCTTGGTATATTCTGCCTCTTTTGTTGTTGATCAAAAGAAATGACGACATTCCAAAATGATATATGCATATGGGTAAATGTTCATCAAGATATATCTTAATTTTAATCATAAAACTGATATGTTGAAATACAATTAAAACAATTTTAGATGTCATTTTTAACTTTGGTTATACCTTCACTTAGGTTCATTTATACTATCGATACGATCGTCAGTATTTAACGTGCATCAGATAGGCAAACCAATCTTTGGAACGTTTTGCAAACAGTTAATTCACTTGCTTCAAGATAAAAATATTTAAGCCATATATAGGAAGGATTTGATATCAAATATCAGAAACAAGTCAATAAGAAAGTAAACTTATGTTCAAACTTTGATAAAAAAAACATTTCGAAAGTGGGTCATAATAAGCACGTCGAGCACAAATAAACTCAATGTTGTTATTTATCTAAATAGATGTTTGATTCAGTAGGACGATATATGCATTATATATTGAGTGTTCCTTAACTTTATTTTTTTTTCGAAATACTCAGGATTTTCTAGCCCATGAATAGGTAAAATTAGCTTTATTTGGCGAAACCATTCTGAAATTTGGATCCTCAATGCTCTTCAACTTCGTACTTTTTGGCCTTTATAACCTTTTTGATTCGAGAGTCACAGATGAGTCTTTTGCGTCTGGTGTACAAAATTTATATCCTGATGTCTATGATGAGTTTATTTACATAGAGCCAAAATCGACGACTACTGAGTTTGCGAAATACCAATTGATATATTCCTGGTCAAAACAGAAACAAAGATTTTTTATTTACCGAATAACTTTACTGATGTTTATGATGCATGATTAAAACTTTACCTGCATTGCATTCATCGTTTTCAGTTCCGTTTTCCTCTTGCAAGGTCAGATAAAGCTCTGACATTTCTGATTTTATTGACACGTCTTGCTGATTCGTGCTTCCTGTTTCGTATAAGGAGAAATATTAAAGCTTGAGCTTGTCAATATTATGAATATATGGATATATTTAGATATACAAATTTCACACTTAATTGAACCTACTGTCAGGACTCCTGCCAGAATAATGGTTTCATATATATCTGTTTTATCCCATGCGGTAAACATGCTTTTCAATTTTTAAAGAATTCCCCCAACAATGACAAAGCTATCAAGGTTAATTAAGTAATCATATGTTCAATGTATAATAGTCAGGATGTATCGTAACGTCTATATTACAAATAAATCAGGAAATTTATATATGCAACAAAAAAGTGCAGAGAGTCAGACAAACATATAAAACAACAGTATTTCAAACAAACTAGACTCCTATCAACATTCGCATTAGTATTAGATAGATATATTTGCTAGTTGCAGTGTAAAGTTGTTTATTTGAAATATGTCTTTTGATAAAAAAAAAAAGAAACCCGCACAGAAACTTACAGGCCCCTAGAGTTCGAAAAAGTATAATAAATCATTCAAACAACATAGGATGTTCTTTCAGATGTTTACAAGACATAAGTCACTCGGACATCAACATTTATATTTTTGAATGTTGTCTTACACATACGAATGGGTGTACATATCTTTTCCTTAAATTAAAATATTTCTTCTGATTATCCTTGATTGAATAATAAGTATTCTTGACGATGAAATTCTATTGTCTTCCTTACTTCAGAAATGCACATCAACTTTTTTCAATTTCTTTGAAACCCTACCCCTTTAAAAACAGAAAAATACAGACGATATTTCAATGTTTTATGAAGGAAAGTGAAACGTTTACGGAAGTAAACATTTTGTATCTTACATCACGTCTTTCCGGAATTGCGTTAATCCTATACACTCGAGATCAAACGTTGAAAAAGCAATTTCGAAGTTTGGAGACCATAATAACAAAAAAGAGCATAAATAACCAAAACCGGAAATTGTCAACTATGTATGAAAGAGATGTTACCTTAACCTTAACATAGTCAAACAAAATTTGACTGGAAATTAACCAAACGAATATAGACTTACTTTCAACTGTTAGGGAAATGGTTGCGCTTTGAGTCGTTCCCATGTCATTTGTTGCATAACATGTGTAGAGTCCCTCATCCAAAACGTCAGCATTTTTGATTGTCAGTGTTGGACATTCAATTGTCCCGCCTCCATATTTACTAGTATTTTCTGTATCAATTGGTGAAATGTTTTCTCCAATAGATTTCTCCCATGCTAACTTCGTAAGAGCGCAGTGAACTTCGGAATGTAAAATAACATCTTTACCCCAGGGAATATTAAAGGACGTTTGTCTTGTTATAATTTCTGGTCGTTCTGAAACAGAAAGAAAAATATCTGCATCAACGTGTGCAAATGTATGTATATTCAAATATATTCAACTTGACTCTATTCTGTATTAAATATTAAATAGCATCGACTTTCTAATTCAATACATGTTTAATTTTAATTTTTTTTTTTTTCACATGCAATTCATTTACTGAGATTTACCAGGTCATCACGAGTTCAATGTCCGTTATATTGTATATGTTGGATGACGACGGATCTGTTCCAATTGTCTTAACCACACTCCCTACCTTTTGTCCTCGAATGTGATCTACCGAATTAGACTCATCACTGGACATGAGCAACACGACGGATGCCACATGTGGAGCATGATCTGTTAACCTTTCCGATGCATATGAGATCGTTTGGGTTTGTGTTGCTTAGTCCTTGGTTTTCGATGTCAATTTTTTGTATACTGTTGTTTGTCTTTTGGTCGTTTTTCGTATTTTGCTATGACATTGTTAGTTCGTTTTCAACATATGTGTGTGAATATCCCTTTGGTATCTTTGGTCTCTCTTCATACATCTTGCCACCTGAACCTTCAGCAAGTAATCATCGTTCAATCAAACCCCACATATAGGTGTCCTTTGAAAATGTTTGACTTTAAATTGTAACTTCCCATCGTATGCCCATAGGTTGGGTCATACAACTGAATAACAGATACGTAGATTCACCAAACTCTCAAATCTAGAGTTTTAAAAGGAATGGTATATTATGTGCATCATTTGCCACAGGCTATAAAAATCAATGTTATGCACATGACGTTGAATGTTGCATGCAGTTTCAATGTCAAGGGGACAATCAAGGCACCAAATAGCTGTAAAGGGCTATAAAATAATATCCGATATTGGTTATCTTAATTAAGCTTCAAGGAATTCGATTTAAATGGTTGTTAAAAACAGCGACTAATTTGTTTTACCTGAGACAACAAGGGGAGTGCAGCATGTTCCAATTATTGTGTTTCAAATTATGGTATACACAGAGGAATTTTTATTTTATGCAGGATCATTCAATATCTTCAGAGGGTTTCAGGGGTTGGAAGTTGGGGTGATATTAGATCCTCTGCACCGCAGCAATCTTCCCCGACTAGCACCAACATCACTGTTCCCCGGGTTTTTGGTACACTGGTTTGTAATTCCTTCTTGTTGTTGACACTTTGTTGTACGCATTGCTTCCTTTTCACGCACCGTCTCATACGTCCTTTTAAGGTGTTCCCACATCCCCTGTCCGGCCTTCCATTTGCCGTCTAACTACCCCGATATTTATAAAACGCCAGGTTTCTTCTTCTTATTTTTTTTTAAATTGTTATATTCATTTGTTATATTTCAACAATATAATCCGAAAGAGACAAGTAAGATTTTATCCAAAAGATGATATATATATCTCCACAGAGAAATCCTGGCAAAACACCCCTTCAAACATTATAGCTGGGGAAATAGAAAAATCCATTAACAGGAAATACTTTAAGGTGAATACGAGACGTTCGAAAGAAGGTCCCAAATGTTGATCGACCAATACAAATAGAGCAACGCTGATTCTTTAAAAGAGTCAATTATCTCAGTCTATTAATGATTTGTGAAAATCAAATTCCAAATATAAACTATATATACAGCACATAAAAGAGTATTAAATTGTAAAATGAACTGTTAATGACGTCTTGACACTAAATCCATTGGATGTTGGATGTAATATTTTAAACTACATGATTTTTTGATTAGTTGTTATTGGCTTTGAACTAGCTGTCAGTAACTGCGAGTACTCTCGATTCTGTACTTTGTGTCTTTTTTAATTTGCTATGAGAGATGTATTAATACCCTGCCACGTCCGGTCTGTGTTTTTGTTTGGTTTGTTTCTGCTTTGTATCGATTTGATGAGTTAAACCCTTTTTAGCTGATTTTTATAGTTTGTTCTTATGTTGTACTGTTACTGACCCAGGTTAGGGGAGGATTGGCGCATTCAAACATGTTTAACCTCACCACATTATGTATGCCTGTCACAAGTCAGGAGTCTGTACGTAAGTGGTTGTCGTTGGTTAATGTCTGTCATATTTGTTATTCGTAAATTGTTTTGCAAAAATAAGCCATTAGTATTCTAAGTTGAATTGTTTCATATTTTTATGTCGGGGCCTTTTATTGCCGATTATATGGTATGGGAATTTCTGATTGTTGAAGGCCGTACGGTTCCTTATCATTGCTTACATCCACTTCATTTGAACTTTGTTGGATAGTAACTGTTTTCTGATTGGCAATTATACCATATCTCCCTATTTTTATACGGTATATGTTTTTTACATAAACAACAAGCTAATTGAGATTTCATGTTAAATGAAAATCAAAAGAAAAGATAAATTACTATTTGGCTGATCAATATAAAATTTAAAAAAAAATTAAAATACATATCTTAATTTGAAATTGGACATTTGGAATTAAAATACTGAGACAGAAAAATATGAATAATATAGATCTGCTGCAGAGAGGATAAACCCAGAGTAGAACACAGGTAAAAAAAAAACCCGAATGAGGGCCCTAAAAAGTGCACACATACGAAATGTAGCTTACCTAATAAAGAAAAATCTCACCTCTTCATTGAGGAAATTTGTAAAGATTAGAGAAATTCAAAATTTAAATTTCTATATTCAGTTTAAAAAAAAAAGTCATTATAAACATTATTATTGTAATATATAGAATAAATTGGATAGTTGCATTAGATTTCCGTTTACTCTCCCCCTTTTCCCCCACATATTTGTCTCCTTCTGAGTACTCGGTCACCTTGACAAAAAAAAAAGCCAAAACTCTTTATATTCAATGATTCACTTTATTTAACTTTTAAATTAACTTCGTCCGCTTTAATGAATTATGTTTCATCCAATAGCAATAACTTATGCAGCAATGCTTTGTGTTTATAGATATAAGAAGATGTGGTATGAGTGCCAATGAGACAACTTTCCATCCAAGTCATAATTTGTAAAAATAAACTATTATAGGTCAAAGTACGGCCTTCAATACGGAGCCTTGGCTCACACCGAACAGCAAGCTATAAATGGCCCCAAAAATGACTAGTGTAAAACCATTCAAACAGGAAAACTAACGGTCTAATCTATATGAAAAATGAGAAACGAGAAACATTTATGAACCACATCAACAAACGACAACCATTTATCCTAAGTGTCCTAAGTACCCGTGATTTTGTGGGCTACTATCTATTTACTTAATTTACTTAATGTTACCTCCAACATACAAACGAGTTGACAATCGCTTGGTTCCCAAACTATTTGATACTATGCAGATATATGTTCCTGCATCTTCTACCACAGTTTGGTCTATTGTATATGACATATATGTGTCCTCTTCTTCAGTGGGTATAACATCATCTGTGTTTACATCATCTTTCTGTTTTTGAAGCAATTTCCTAACAGCAAGTGTAGATTTGATGTAGTATTTTAAAGTTTTCGTTTCTCCCGGTAAGGTATATATGTTTTTTTCTTCAGGCACTACGTCTGGTGAGTCTACAAAGGGAAGACAACTGTTACTCTTAATATAAATATATTCCTGAAGATTTTTACAAATTAGATATCAGATGTAAAATTTGCAAATAATATCACATTGAATTGTAAAAAAGACTGAACTATAATATTAAATATATACATGTACAGAGTCCTGCAAAAACACCCAAGCAAAAAAATAGCTTTAACCAACGACACTACAGGATAAAATTACAAAAATGTGTTCAATGTATATATTACCAATCACAATGCTAGTTATCATCTGTTCAACTCCATTGGAAAGAAGGCATATGTATTTGCCTGTATCATCGGTATTTGAATTCATTATTTTTAATGATGGTGGTTCGGAAATAACCGAATATTTTTCTTTCCATTTTGTTGCAGATACAATGTTAACCACTTCGTTGTTAATTTGCCTTTTCCATATGGTTGATTTTACTTCAAACGGAACTGATGGTATTCTGCATGCGAGTAAAATTGTGTCCTCTGTCCCAGGAAAGTACGATGGTAGAATGTTAAATACAGAGTTGGCTGTAAAAGATAAAAAAAAACAATGAAAAAAAGATAACTCCACGGTTTGATAGATTTACGATGACTAGCAGTAAAACTGTAACCGAATAAAACTTGTGATATAAATATATGTCTTGCACTTTTACTTCCATGTAAATAGTTTGATCCTCCTTTAGCAAAACAGATTTACCTAATTTTTTTTGTTATCTAGGCACGAATATGTCGTGAATATGCCCTTGACTGTTGTGAAGTTAATCGAAATTATATATAGGATTACATGTGAGATCATCATGTTACTAACTTATGGAATATAAGAAACGGTGGAACTTGTAATGTAATTCAATCCAAATCTATAGAATTATAGTTTAGAGCTATTCCTGTACTGGGTTTAATATACTTATACTTTTTTTTAAATGTGATGTACTGATGTACTATAGCAAATGATTCAAAATTAAGTATATTTTAACAAAAGAATAACGGAAACACATTTTCTAAATCTCCATCCTCCAAAGATATGGACATTTTGAAACACATAGAATTAACAATACAATAGGGAATTATGACTAAGGTTCCTTGGTGGTTACAAATCATTCATTTATCTACAGGATATATTTTCAAATTTGTGTTAAACTTTATAAAGTTTAGTTGTGTGTGGACATTCTGTGACTAAATTTGCCATTTTTAATATCGACTTCATACTAATCTCGCAGATACTTAAATGATTTTTATAATTGGTACTAAGTCTTTACAAAATATACCTTATGGGGAAATGTTCATGATCTAAGTTGATTGATGGGACCAATACTAATAAATGATGTAACAATTTGACCTGCATTTCCTCATTTGAAGTTCTTTTCTGGAATAGGCATGATGTGTGTTCTTTAATGTTCTGTTTGTTACTAATTATTGATTTTATCAATATTAAATGGAAGCTGAGCTTTAAAAAAAATCCTTGAACCCTGTCAGAAATGCATGTTAAAATGTTTAACATTTTTTATAATATTAAATTAGTTCACAACCTTTTAAGACTTAATCTTGTATAGCCCACTGTCTATTTTTATAAGTGAGTATAAGTGAGTATATTGATCTATAGATGTCCTTTTGTATCTGTGGCCTTTTGTTGGTGTTTCATTGACATACATGTATACCAAACATTCCATTGAATTCGTCTTCTCAGTTTTAATGGATTTGTCGCAATTGATAGAAAAACAATAAACATACAATGTAAAAGTACAAACAATACTAAGCACTGACATTTTAACTATGCAATTTGGTACGATAAAAAAAATAGAGATTTAGAACAAGTGTCCTGCCAGTAAAAAAAATTAAACATTCATTAAATGAAATTAATTAGTTGCAAAAATATAAGAAAATGAAATAGAATAAAACAAAATCAAATCATTCCGACTTTTCAAGTTTTGTTGAGCATTACAGATAACAGTTACTTACACTCAACTTTTAATTGTGTAGGACAAACAAACGTTCCGAAAACACAGGATTTAAGAGTGCATTCATATAATCCAGAATAATTAGCCTTTGCCTGCCGTATAACAAGTGAAAATGGCGACTTTTCCATAATAGTGTATCTTTCGTCATTTACCAATATCTCATTGGTAGACTTGTTACTCCAGGACACTAGTTTGATAGGAAGGTATGATATTATTCTGCACTGAAGTATAACTTCTTCATCTTTGGATGACCGATAAAGTTCATGTTCCATGAAACATTCAGGCTGACCTGCAAAATTTGAACACATTTTGATTTATAAAAACTTATTCGATATGTATGAATTAAAAGTGATGTAAGGTATAAGTCAAAACTAGTAAGTAAAACAAAAATATATCATGGACTAAGCATGTTTAGTTTTAAAAAATGTCAACATTGAAAAGTGAAATAAGGCAGTCACCAGGAATATCCCTTCGTTGAATGATTCTGCCCACAATTCTTCGGATATCATCTCAATGGTTAATTAAATGGCGTCTATTTTAAAATGCACACGAAATGTTGATACAGTTTAACGAGTCAATGCAAGGTAAACTGTTTCTTAAGGACTGTTTGTAATTTGGATAGACGTTTTTGTACGTTATAAATAAAATATGAGATATTTAGTTGCACCGTGAACATAAAGATGGCAACTACATGTAATGCCCCTTAAAGTGTGATGATTGTCACCACAGTTTGATAGTGTCACCTTCGTACAATCGTCACGTAGCAGTAGCAGGTATGCTAGCATATATATTGATTGTGTTGGTCATGCTCAAGCATCTATATTAACTAAAGGCTGGGCTTCTCTGGACTTGTTAGACAAACCACGTAATAATTGGTTAAAAGCAATGCAAATGTCACAAAGAAAGACTTTATTCTCTTTTACAGTGACAGCCTTACGTACGCTCTTAACAACAATGGCAAACCAACCAGGTTATAATTGTTTCAAATAAATTCAACAAACAATGATGAAAATTGGGACTTTATTTCATGTTAGTAAAATGATATGCAATTCAAAATTTAAAATGTGTTCCTAAATTAAATAGGTGCGGTATACATATTTTGATACTCTCGCAGTCTCTCTGTAACAGTGTACACTTTCCCCTCACTATCGTCAATTCTAATGTTAATCAACTGTTGAGGTTTTTGTTTTATATCCACTTTTCACTGTGGCAGGGTAGACTGGTTTCTGTGTTTTTTACTCGTTTAATTAAAACTCTTAAATTGTATTAGTCAAACACATATACATACACGTACGATTAAGATTACAATATAGAACACAGTATTAAATAAATGCCAACAGTACCTTACCGATAATTTAAACAAGTTTATATGGAATATACCAACCTATAACATTTCTCTAATTCTTACTTAAATTAACCTTTTCCTGACCTGTTGATTATTTTTATTTAATCAACGTGTGGTTCGTTTGATCTCAGTTCTTCATTGGTCAAAATTCGATTATGAAGTTAACTTTGCTTTCCTCTGAATTTCACGAAAAAAGGCGACCTTGCCTGAGGACGTCACATAGAAAGAACACATCTTTTGCAGATCGTTCGAAAAGAAGGATTGGGATTGTCTAAAAATCATTAGAGAAACAGACTCTACCACCAAATCTCGTGCAATACGATATTTATCCCCTCTCAACAGTTAAATCTCAATTATTTAAAACGCTCGGCAAGCCTCTCGTTTTCAATTTGAAAATTTAACTGTCTCGAGTGGATAAATATCGTACATCGCACTTGATGCAGTGGTAGAATCTATATTTACCTCTTGGGTAATGAGACTGGATGCGTCGATAGAGTAAACATGCATCACCCGTCATACAAAACCCATACTCACAAAATAAGCTATCCAAAGGATATAGGGCTCAATCGGTATTTCGGTTCCGACGATTGTACTTTTTTTTCTATTTAATATTTTTATAATTATGTAGAACATGTGGCTGTGCATTCAATTTGGTTCAAGATCACGATTATACGATGCAAAATGCAGTACATTTATTTTTTGACAAAACGCTGTTAAAATTGAAAGACAAGTTTATAAACTTCATTATTTTCATAAATATTGAATTTATAATAAAACAGTTACGATCCCTACGTTTATTAATATTGTTTCAAGCTACACTGTATATAATGTGGACGGGCAGGCCGTAACAAGTTTAAACATGGAGTACAGCAAAAAAAAATTAATTGCATTACTGATTATTATTGAATAAATACACATGCCACATATATGATTAACATTTCTGGACATTTTGGTCCTTCAATTTTATTCGTTTTAATGCTACCGTTCGTTCACTTTGTTTTCTTGACGATTAAAAACATTACCCACTTACCAAGTTACACTTGAAACAATGCTCCTGTATATGTGTTTGTTTTATTTGTGAATTTAATATGAAATTCATAATATCGAACTTACCGAAAGTATAAAGTAAAATGAAGACAATGCATCCTGAAAAATAATAAGCAATTCAATTAAGATAATAAAATCTTAAACTAAATCTAAAAACGGTATTGAAACGAATGCAATTTTTAAAAAGACACAGGATTTATTTTTTCAAGATATTATATCTCATTCTTTTAAACATGCTACATTTTGACAAAAATGTGTTTTAACAATTAAAAAGTGTTTATACTAACCTATCGCTGTTATGGTTCCGAGTAATACCAGTACACGTGCACCATCCCTGAAGACGTTTGTTAAGTAATCTGAAAAAAAGTAATCTCTGTAATGTAAAACTTTACATACAAGTCATTGGTCAAATGTACAGAGCAAGGAAGGCAAACAAGTGAAAATGATAATCATTCAAAAATTGGTAAAGCTCCTAGACAAAGACAGAGTAGTATATCGATCATGCATGATTCCGGGACAAGAATACTGACAGACAATGAGTCTAGTCTATGTTTGTAAAAACATTACTGCAAAAAGGGAAACACATTTAAAGTTAACATAAGTACTCTCTGTTGAGTATGATGTCCATGCAAAAAATACCAGTAACACATGTACACTTACAGTGTGAGTCTAAAAAATATTTATGTGAATTTCGGATGTTTGTTGTTTCAGATTGATTTACACTAAATTCGTTCATGGTAACTGATTGATATATGCGTCAAATCTCATTTAGCATCTTCAACATTTGACATTGTGGGTCTCTGTCTTGAGTCAAATACAAATAAATACAAGGTTAAAAAACATATCCATCTACCTCGATCAATTCTATACGTAGTTTCTGTTTGAAGGATTGAACCGATGCCTGAAAAGTCGGACTTCTCTGTTGATGGCAATCTGAAAGTAATGAATGTATGTAAAATGTTCATCTCTGCCACGTCCGGTCTGTGTTTTCGTTAGATGTGTTGCATCGATCTGATGAATTAAGCCCTTTTCAACTGATTGTTATCATGTTTATAGTTTATTCTTGTAGCGTACTGTTACACCACTGTCCCAGGTTATGGAGAGGGTTTGACGCCACCAACTAATTTAACCCCTCCGCATTCTATATGTGCCTGTCGCAAGTCAGGAGCCTGTAATTATAGAACTTGATGTCGGTTCATGTCTGTTATATTTGTTTTTCGTAAATTGTTTTGTCATAAATAAGGCCGTTAGTTTTCTCAATTGATTTTTTTTTGTCGGGGCCTTTCATAGCCGACTATATGGTGTGAATTTTTCTCATTGTTGAAGGCCGTGTGGTTGCCTAAAATTGCTTACATCCACTTCATTTGAACTTTGTTGGATAGTTGTCTCATTGGCAATCATACCGAAAATTCGACTTTTCGTCAGGGTAATTAATACTAATTGCCAACCTCAGTACGTGAAATCGGGAGGATGCCAAAGGAAACCCAACAGTTATTAACGTCATGTGCAGTTTTTAACCAATCAACAACTTAATAGTTAGGTTGTCAAAACCTTATTATCGATCCTTGAAATCTTGGATTAATATATTATAATTTAGATATTCTAAAAATATCTACAATATGACAACACGGACTAATAGTCAAATCTACACAAATCGATTCAATGAAATAATGCAACAGCATGTGATTCCATAGCAGGCAGAACAATCAATCAAATGTATATATTTACTCTCATACAAAGTTACCTTAAAATCAAAATATACTAGGTAAAATCTATTTACCTTTCTTTCATTGAAGATCTATCCATAGCGCCTTTAGTACAATTGTATTCTATGAAGAAATAATAACGTTTTATCAGATACCAAAATAAATGAATGCAGATAATTTATAAAAGGGCTTGGACGTGAAAGTTTAGATCAACGAAAGGTCGAAAACAACATACATGTAGATAAACAATAAATTTATAATTAAAACAACTTTCTTAATTGATAAACAGAGTTATATTTTATTATTAAAACTTCTGTTAAAAAGATTTTGTTACAGATAATGTTTCGTAAATTATTTCATGCAAGCTTCTATACATTCAGAAATTATTGCGAGAATTTATTATTGCAAATCACTGATTACTTGTAAAAATGCAAGATCTAATTAATGCGATTGCAAGAATAATTATTGTGAAGGAAAACATGGAAAATACCTACTGAAATTATGAATGAATTCCAGGCTTAAGCAGATTTAACTTTCTAGTTTTCATTCCGAGGTCATTTCTTATAAATGTGAAATATATTTACAAATATTTATAGAATAAATGAACAGAAAGCTAGTGCTCCTTTATATTAGTGAATTCTACTAAATGTAATGACTTTTTAATAATTGCTCTAATTATAGTATATAAGTAAGTAGTCCAAGTGCCTCCTTTTAGTGTGTAGGACTTGTCTACAACGGAATGCGTTTGACTGATTGTGATGCATAAATACGCAGTCACAACTGCAGAATGATTAGAGATGTTAAACCCCTAGTTGTCTCTTATAAGGAAAATGCCATTTACTCTGCATTATAAAACTTGCAATAAATCATTGCGGGAATCATAGGTGGTCATTTGCAATGTACAACTCTGTCCCATCCGACATGTCGTGATCTTTCAGTGACGGTCAAAGTGGCTGGTCCTTCATTCTGTTCGACCTACACTTGATAACTTACATTGTATATATAAGATTTATTGATTATTTGTTCTTGTTTAGAATATGCATATAAGATTTTAGTCTCTGATGCATGATTTTATTGATAATTGTTTTTGGCTTTTAACTAGCTTTCAGTAACTGCGAGTACTCTCAAATCGTACTTTCGTGTTAATTTGACCTGTTGACACAATTTGTAATGCATTTTTGTTATTCGATGTTTACTTATTTTGTGTTATATCTCGTCTCACTATTTGTAATATGTACCACCTTTGACAAGTATTTAATATGCGCCATTTTGTCCCAGGTTATAGTTGTCTTTTTGACATTGTTTTACACCCCCCCCCCTTTTTATAAATATTGTATTTATATTGTGTCATAGATCACATTTATCCTTTCAGTTTATGTTTACTTGTTTTTGTTAATATGTATTTTTGGTCGAGTTAAGCCATTTCAATTGATATTTTATAGTGTGTCTTTCTATGTGACACACTATAAAATATAACGTGTAATGTTACACTACTGTTTCATGTTAGGGTGAAGGTTGGCGCCTGTTAATACGTTTAAACCCGCTGCATTTGTTTGCACCTGTCCTAAGTCTGTTGTTCAGTGGTTGTTGTTTGTTGATGTGGTTCATAATTGTTTCTCGTTTTTTATATAGATTAGACCGTTGGTTTTCCTGTTTGAAATTGTTTTACACTAGTCATTTGTGGGCCCTTTATAGCTTATAGTTCGGTGTGAGCCAAGGCTCCGTGTTGAATGCCATACTTTGACCTATAATTGTTTACTTTTAACACACTGTGACTTGGATGGAGAGTTGTCTCATTGGCTCTCATACCACATCTTCTTATTTCGATAAACTATTTGCCACTATTTTATAAAAAAAAAAAAGATTAACAATCAATAGAGCGGATATGGTTTTTTTGTTGCATTAGACCTTGTATTATAATATAAGGATTCGATTTTTGTACTTTTGAAATTCTTATGAATTGTTATATTTATATTTAAATATTAATTAATAAATCTCAACCTTTTAAAATTCAAATCAATTTGGTAAGTGGAGGATTTACCTGCTGTAAGTCTGAATGACTCTTCGCACCTATGTTGGTAGCATGAGCAGTCTTCCTGAGAGGGAATGCAGAAATAATTATGTCGTGGTTTCAAAACGAAGGCATATCCATTATTATAATCACACCGACAATTACGGTCATCTGTGGCTGACCCGTTGTTGTGATTGACGAACCCTTTGTCTTCACATGCAGATTTTGAATATATGCAGTCGCTGTATCCCTCAGTACTAAATGTAAATGGCTGAAAGCGTTCAAATGTGCAGTCTTCACTGTCGAGGTTTTGGCGTATAACACATTTTGTCCCTTCACATGGATGAAAAAGAAAACTTAGGAATGAAAGCATAAACATGATAAACTTCTATTAATGTGGGGTTAAGCACTCCACTTGACATCTAGTGTGTTGTTCATTCCTGTGGATAATGATAACTTAAATTTGACATATGTTTGCTTCCGGGAAAATTTATAAAGTTGTGTCTGCTAAGAAACATTTCATTTTTTATATTGCATTTTTTGTACTATACATTAACAGGGGTACAAGTAAACGTATGCGCTATTCGTTTGTTTTCTCCTAAAATCCTGGTTCTTTTTACAAAATGCTTATTAGCAACGTCAATTTCTGCAGAATTCAAATGAAACGGTTGGTAGTTAAAAAGAAAAAAAAAAAACCATACACACATTATTTTAATGTACATTATACGTAAATTGAATTAAAGGAATACAAAACACTCGCTACAAAGTAATTGAAAATGCACTTTTATTGTCGTTTTCAAATATGTAGCAGTATAGATACAATTTATAAAATACGCCATTTTTTAAACACATAATATCTTGCATGCAGATTTTATAGTGATTTTATAGTGTTGAAAAAATCTTAATATCATATATCAAAACATCTTGAATCTTCTGAAATTTTATCGCAAATTTTGTATACACATCATTACAAAAAATTATTACATTCAATTTAATGATTTGTCTAAAAGCATATTACCCTCAAGCCATAGTTCTGGCTTGTCTCGACAAGACTCATTGTACTCCTTTCGGTAATCATCCCAAAGACAATAGTATTTAGACAGATTTCCACATGTTTGTGTTGCTCGTATATTCCATTCAGAGCTATATGGACATCTTAGCTGAAAACCATTACATTGTCTCTGTTGAAGTAGCAAAATCTACAAGAGAAAATTTTTAATGTTCTTGCATGAAATCTCAGTGTTTGTTGAAGCCCATGAAAAATGTTGCAAACAATTTCAGTGAGTCTTTTTTTTTTTGTATCCATATCTGTCTTTCAGTGTCGTCAGTTTCTCGTTGACTTACGTTTTTTTTTTAATTATATATTTTAAGAAGAAGGACGTTGCATTTTTTTTTTTATTTTAACAGAAATAATCATGAAATATTTAGTTTTGTTTCTACAATATCTGGATCTGTCACGATGGTATTTAAATGCATGAAGAATATTGTCTACTTATGCATGTGAGTGGTCGTAGTTATTGAATAAAGCCGCAACAGTTTAAATAAATAGAAAATAGCATATGGTTTTTTCAATAGCACATTCGCATCAACACCGAGACACCAACATAATCCCAAGAGCTCTTCGACCTCACCCACTTTGGATTTACTAACCCTCTATGGATCCGTTTGGGGTCAGTAGCAAACCTTATAACTTTTAGTAGCTTTCTGAGATAAAGAAAATATTTAACGATTCATAACGTTTAATACGATGAATGATATGGATCTGCTGTCTCACTTTAGTGCAGTAAACAATTCAGAGTTAACGAAGAATTTACGGACAATAGCATTCAACATTAATGGCACTTATACACTATGTATTATTAACATCTGACTGTGTATTATGAATTACAAACAGTCACATTGGGCACATTTTCTTATATTATGGGCAGTGATTTTTTTTACAATACGTGGACTTTACCACAAGCTATCATAACTTTTTTTAATAAGTTTAACTACTCAGTTGGGTAAACATACAAGAAGAAAAACGCATTAAAATGGTCTGAAGATTTCTGAACAATGTAGGTTCAATCCACTATATTTTCGTATCTTCTTGCATTTAAAGATAAGAAATTGTAAAGTTTAACGTTTTTATAAAATAGGATTTTCAGGCTGACAAAAGAATTCCCCTCAGGCCGGTACTATAGTAGCCTTCTTGAACTTGCGGTGAGGCGAAGGCTTTAACACCATGGTGAAGGTCTGTAGCTATAAAATATCTGATTATTCTTCAAGAAAGAAATCATTTCAAAATAAATATAAAATATATGTACATTGTCGGAGAATATAAAATTAATGTGTACGAGCTTTAAAAACAGGAAGAAGCAGCGAGGCCCGCCGAGCATTTTTTAGGGTCTAGCTGAAACCCGCATCCGGTCCGGCATTTTCTCGCTGCGTTAAAGACCCATTGGTGGCCTTGAGTTGTGTTCTGCTATTTGGTCAGGTTGTTGTCTCCTTGACACATTATCTGTTGCCTATCTATATTCTATATATTTTTTTCATCATGTAATTTACATCCGTCACTTTAGCTTTAGTTGTTTGAATTCCATCAGTTGTCTCTGATTTTTCAAAGAAATCGACATAGTTTAAAAACAGACCACGAAGAGAACCCAAAATGAACTGTCACGCAATAAAAAATATTCACATTACCGTTATCGCAATATGGAACCGGATTAACAGAAGACTTTATTTGGACAAGTACAAAAAAAGCAAAATGTTATTTTACTGTGTACAATTATAGCTGTTTGCAGGATAAAACTAACTATGTTAACATGTATAATAGAAATGAGCAAAGCTCAGCCTCAGTTTCGTCTCCCTAAAGCGAATGCAATTAGTCCGTACATCTATATTATTTTGATTGGTTAATTACTTAAAGATCAGTGGCAAACATATCATGTATATTCAGAACAAGAACATGTGCATTTGCTACTACAAAAATGAATCAGAGGTTTCTTCGGAGTAGTTCAACCAGGAGAAAAGGCGGGACATTTGGAAATTAACGGAGTATGGATAGGGTCCGACATTTGCCCTGGAACAGGACACATACGGACATATGTGTTACAAAAGGTTTACAACATGCAGAGAGAATGGTGTTCACCGTACACAACACATCGGATTTATCGTATCCGTTCCAACAGGACGTGGCTGCGTAAGTATACGTCCTGCATATATAAATGGAGACTCAAGTTTATCAAGAGTGTTATGTCTAGGTGGGAGCAGTCTAGGAATAATCATAGTTTATACCACATACCCCTGGGCATTAATAATTTTTAATTATAAGTGACCTCTATCGCTGTCAAATTTGATTGAATACTGATTTTGATTCTTAAAAGTATAATTTCTATCTAGTAACTAGAGTACATAATCAAATCAATATGAATAACAAAATTACTTTTCGCTGATTAACAAGAGAGATGCTATATGGATTTAAATATATTAAATATTCTTATAGTATGCACTATATTAATAATGCAATCCTGCAAGACATGTCAACAAACGAAACCTGGATATAAATAATAAACCGGTTATAAATTATTACCAGAATGTAAATTTAATGTGCATGTTATAATAGAGTAAGTGGTCAACATTTTAAAAAGTAACGGTGATTGCTTAGCTTGATTCAAAGTGTCTTAGTTAGAAAAAAAATATGTGTGTGAGCACAAAATCTAATTTTGGTTAAATACTGAGGTGTTCCTCGACACTTTAGATATAAAATAAACAAGGAGATGTGTTGTAATTGTCAACGAGACAACTATCCACCAAAGTTCAAATGAAGTGGATGTAAGGGGACGACCATTTAATATTCTGGGGGCGGGCAGGAGGATTTGTTTTGGATCGGTTATTTATTTTTGTAAACTAAGAGGACAGATTATTTATTTTCTGCACTGTTGAAGCAAGATTTTTCATTTTCATTAAAACAAGGGACTGATTATTTGTTTTCATAACTATATTAATAATATTTGAAAACATGCAATTTTTAAATTCATTTTTTATTATAAATAATACATGTACAGTCAAGTCATTAATGTACCATTTAATCAGAATTACTCATCATCCTTTGCGGAAATGAATCTTCTGAATTCCAAACTGCATATACATGTATTGCATACATACACGGTATTAGAGTTGGGGCTGTGACTAGCCTCTTTTAATAGTATTGCCAAATATATTTACGCCGAGCGGAGCGAGGCAAAAACATTTTGAAGGGTTTTGAAGCCGCTGAAGGCCCAAAGAAACTATAGAACAAATGATGCAAAATCGTGCTTTCTGGGCGTTCCCAGACCCTTTCTGATTCTGTTTTAATAGTTTTTTGACAATATTTAATTTGGTCTCAAAGCAAAATGTATAGATTCAGCGTAAGACTTAAGTTTTTATGGACAACATCAAAAGACCAATATGAAGAATAAAGTAAAAATGTAATTCACATAGTTAAGTATGTGGCTGCTGTTTTTTTTTTTTTTTTTTTTTTGTTGTTTTGGCATGCAGAATTTAAATCTTTTATACCTGTAAATTATATGGGGTTTTATTCAAATTAAGTTAAGAGGGGGCTGATTATCAGTGATATAACTATGTCAAGTAATTTTTAATAACACATTTCAATTACAACTTGATGTAGCTCTTAACTGGGATACAATTTAAAATAGTTAAGTTGTAAAATTAGCTAAAAAGTCTTAAATAAAATAAAACTCATGATCAAGTTGAAAACAAAATTACAAAATCACAAAAGGAATGCAACACTAAGAGAATACAGAAGGGCAATCAATGAACAAAAGACAAATTTAAAGAAACATTGATCCCGAAAAAACAGGTGCTACGTCCAAGGGAGAACAGAACTTGCTTCTTGCAAACACTCGCTGTGAAAACAATTTGATATGAAGACAAGCTTTTGGTTTTAAAATTTCCTACATAAAGGCATTTGCCTCAATGTAGTAACAGCCCTGTAATAAAAGTGAGGTAAGTGAAAATTAAAATGTTCCTGAGCCAATATACCTCAAGTTAAATGAAACCCATTTTCAGACATTTCAAGTATATTTAAATAATATTTATACATTTATTATTAAAAGATTTGGGAAGTGATTCCTGAATTTTTTTTTGAAAAAAAGATGAATTTTATGAAGAATCTGGTGCCACCTCATACTTTCGAATAGCATTTATAAAATGGCTTAAAGACCTGCCGAGTTATTCATTTTCAATACATTGTAAGTCAGGTTATTTATTTTCGAACTACCACACAACAAACCATTTATTTTTGTGATTATCAAGGCTGAGTTTTTTATTTTCAAAATCCTCCTGGCCCCCCCCCCCCCCCCCCCAGAATATCAAATGGTCGTCCCCTAAGCAATTATAGGCAACCGTACGGCCTTCAACAATGAGAAAAACCCATACCGTATAGTCGGCTATAAAAGGCCCCCGACATGAAAAATATGAAACAATTCAATTGAGAAAACTAATGGCCTTATTTAACAAATAAAATATACGAAAAAATAAATATGACTGACATGAGCCAACGACAACCATTGAACGCAGGCTCCTGGCTTGGGACAGGCAACTAAAGAATGTGGCGGGGTTAAAACATTTTTAACTATTTCTATAGAGCTGGCACTAGATCCAATTGCAAAAAAGAAGCCGTGTTGCTCTTTCTCCTAAATTTTAATGGAGAGAGAAGTAAACTATTGTGTACCAGTAAATATTGTGTTAATTTTGATAAATTTTATAATTAGGGTGGGTTATGGTTATTGGAAAACGAAATCATAGATATCTTATTGAGCTGTGTACGTACAAAATAGTAAATTTAATATATATTACATTGTCTTTAATAATATAATGCCTTTTTATGGTAATATTATATACTAGTACTGGAAGCTAAATGAGTAATTTTCGTATCTTAATTAATTCATATTTCTTATCAATAAAAGTGTGTAATGGCATTTTATGAGTAGTTTATAACTAATTGATGAAGAAAATCATCGTCTCATAAGCCTATTTAGGCTAGGTATTTGTCTTATTTTATCATTGTGCAATGTACAAACATGTATATTATATAATCTGTATATAACTTTGTAGACAAGTATTAAGTGACACTTTAATAACATAAATTATTATTATTATTATTATTATTATCATTATTATTATTATTATTATTATTATTATTATATCCGTAGTATTTTTAAACACCATTAGAACTTGTGAGGCAAACTTCCTCGATTAGAAAAAAAAATTTAATACGCAAAAAATCATATTATATTTTTATTCCCTGTATACTTGCATTAAAAAAAAAACAACATTTTGTTTTACTATGATCATTTCCCTGGCATTAAACAAATCAATAAACCCTTCAACTAAGTTTTTTGTACTTGAAATTATGTGTAGTATAAAAAAAAATTTAAAAAAAATTAAAGTTTCAAATACAATTCTATAAATACAATAATACACATTTTCTTTGTAAATTGTCGTAATTAGGGAGAAATAAAAGTGCAAACCACTGTAAGTGTGTAAATTCATCATGTTCATTGTCAATCATATTTTAGACAAATGTTTTCATATCTATTAAGAGTAAATACTTCCAAAATCAATAAAAAAATTATATAAAATAAGAGTGACCTTTCAACATCTAAATATAGATCTTTTACTTGGAATGTGACTGTCGCACTGAAATTTCATTAATGCTGGTACTTTAACATGTTTAATTGAAGTGGAAGTACTTCATTATTATGACGCTTGTTTTGGTTGAGTGACACCTAATATATGGAAAACGTGAACTACATATTAATACGCCACACTTGGTCTACTTTAAATATACATTGTCATACTAAAATGTCATTAAATGTGCAATATTTTGATATTAGTCCCTACACTAACTACAAAACCGCGACTCTATCTTTGGTCCTTTATATATTTTTAAGTGAAAAACCAAAATTATTACAAAACCCTACTATTGATTTGGGCCTCGATGGGTGTTGTATAGTCGTTGCGTAATTCAATTTTTATACTAGATCTTGCTACGGTAGTACCGGTTTTTCACGTAAAAAAAATTCAAAATTAATCAAAATCCGATTATCAGTTAAAATTGCAAAGGAAAATATCTTTTTACCATTCCCTACCCTAAAACTAGACGCAGGAAGTAAAATAATGAACACAAATGTTTACAATCGATTTAAATATACGTATGTGTCTAAATTTATACTTACTGATAATGCTAGAATACACATTACTTTCCAATGTCGTTTTTGCATCATTTTTAATTCATTTTAATGCATTATTTTTTAAAGCTGCTATTGATTATAAAATTCAAAAATACTGGGTCACATCAACGTTTGTTTATGCCCACATTATGTTTGTAGAATAGAGTTATATTTATCTCAACAAAAACCACTTATAACTTATAAGAGGCCGAATTCTTACAGGGGAAGTGGTGTATTTTTGACATAATTATATTCATTCATGGAAAGCCGCAGTGAACCCCCCGATAATTTTTATTTTTTCCCATAAGAAATGCATAAAAAATAATTATTGTCGGCCGCCCGCAGATTATTATCATTGACGTAGCTTATGTTGAGGCAACCGAGGCAACTCGTTAAAAAAAAAAAAAAAAAAAAAAATTTTTAATCTTTTAAACGATTTCCACCTAATGCATCAGACTAGCTACTAAACGCTAAAATACCGACTTGTGTTGTCTTGTTGTCGCTATTGATGATTATTCATACCCTTTGCGAATTCATTTCAAGACTTATGGAAACATTTCCTTCCTCTACTTGGAAATCCCCTTTACGGTAGTTTTCTGTAATCTAAATTTTCGGAGTAAAAACAGATTTATTTAGTCCTACCCCATTGCAAGCAAAATTAGTAGAATATATGATGATCCTACTTACGAGTCTTCCCCGATTGAATCACTTTACCATTTAATCGGGTAATTTTTTTAATTTTGTGTGAGAATAATTTCTAGTATATGAGGGTCTGGATAAGGTTTATAGAAAACAGAAAAATGCCCTGAAATTAATTTAAACTTAAAAGAATAGAGATTTAAAATGGTGCTTAAATATAAAAGAAAGGAAAATCAAATTATGGGGCGAAAATAATTAAAAATAAATATTTGAAAACCCTATTCTTAGACTTAAAACCCTCATTTGTAACCGTGACGTCTAAAATTGAAACATCGTTGTTCTTGGCATTTTAGTGTAGAACTTCAAATACACAGAGTTTCATTGACTTTGGTACCAATCAAAATAAAATATGCATCAATCAACATGCACAGAAAATAATTTATATGTTGTGGTTCATAAGTTTTATTCTCGCTATTTTAAATTTATAATTTTCAATAGCAGGGAATTTAAAATATTTAAAGGAGTCACTAATTCCAGAGAAATATTTATTATATGTCTGTTAGTTAATACATAAGGTCAGTTTATATATAAAAATTTCAACCAAATACTGTTTTCATTTATCATGAAGACTTCAGAATAACGTAAATGTTAGTACTTCGCCGGTTGTCATTTTCATCGTGAATGTAATAAAGTTCAAAACCATTTAATAATTTGAAGACCTTCCAAGGAATACCAGGACGAAACACAACCAATACAAGTGCCGTGGTGCACTTTACATGTAGCATGTGTTTATCTCCTATTTTACCAAGAAATTCTACTGTTCAATTTTTGAGATGATTATCTACAATTCGTTGATTCGTGACCCACGACCAAGCGAGTAAAATGATCATCACAAACATTATTTAGAAAAACATTTTATTTTATCTTAATTGTTGCGTTTGTTTTTCTGTATTGAAAATTTTGTACAGGTTTTATATGTCCATCGAACAAGGTCATGATTTCTTTTGATATGACGTTAAATCATATGTCACAGTGAGATACAGCCACCTATATTAGAGTATACGACGGCTTGGGAATATATTGGGAGATTAGGCTTTTGCGCTGGCTTTCAGTTACTGCTAGCAAGTCAGGAAACTGACTTGTCAGTGGTTGTCTTATGTGATATCCACGTGTTTTGTTGTTTTTATAATTTTGAGTTGACCGTAGATTAGATCGTATCGGTTTAAATCATACACAACTTTCTATAGACTCAGGACAATTTTGAACTTGACAGATCAATCTCCTGTATCCGTAAAAAATTTTAAATCTGGGAAGTTCACTGAAAGGATTTGATTTGAAAAAGTGGTAAATGCTTTTGATTTATGTATTCATTTGAACATTGAAAATGATGCAGATACCAGAAATCAACTAATAAATCGGTAGTATAACTTAGTGTAAGGCATATTAACATTATTTTGATGAAATAAAATTAATCAACAACTATTATTTTTCATAGATTCTTCTTGTTCAAATTGTAAAAACCTCGATAGCTTCTGGGGGGCTGCGATCCCCCAGACCCCCTGCCTCGGTACAAACAGAAGGCAAGCTACGTCACTGATTATTACTCCCGCCGAAGATTATTATCATTCCCGCCTGCAAATTATTATTATTCCCGCCCGCAGATTATTATTTCTCGATTCGTCTTGCGGCGGCCGCAGATTTTTTTACACAAGGCCGAAAGATTATTTCTACACAAACACCGCTTTTTTACACAAGGCCGAAATATTATTTCTACACAAAACCCGTTTTTTTTTTTACACAAGGCCGAAGGACTATTTCTAGCCAATCAAAAATAATCGGGTGGGAATCCTCTAAACCAAAAGCATGAGGCGGGCCGACAATTTTGAAGATTTTATTAAATTCTCGTATTAATGATTAAAGCAAGAATATTCTTTTATTTTTTTATGCTTTGATCTTCTGTGCAAATATTTTCAGTATTGATCAGTATTGCAAAAGCGGTGCTTTGCTTTTAATCCATTTGGCATGTCATTTGCGCCAAAAAAATCGTTCATTTGCGCCACAAACCAAATTTCACTTGCGCCAAAAATAAAACATTTCATTTGCGCCAATAATACAGGTAAATAGTATAAGAAAGATTGTGTCTTCCTGTACTACATGCAATCATGACGTTGTTACATGAAATCTCCTTCGTAGTACAGCCCGCTTTATAAGAGTTGACATGCTTTGATTTCAGAAAGTTCCAGCATTCCTTGATAAGCTATAATTGTTTATTGTTGTAACAATTATGCTGAACCTTGGTTTATTTATATCTTTAACATGATTAAGACGGTATTATATGGGTAATTGATTTTCTTGTGCCGTAATTTTCGTTCTTTAATTTACCGCGTTTATTGTTAAATAAAATTGAGAATGGAAATGGGGAATGTGTCAAAGAGACAACAAACTTGTTTAGATTAAAGTTGGAGCGTTGAGATCTACAAATTGCCACATATTTATATGCCTGTCCCAAGTTGGTCACCTTATCTGTGTTTTGTGTACTTATACATTCGTGTTTTTTTGTTATTTAGGGCATTCGGAATGAGTGGTAGATCTAGCGTAATCTCTGTTAAATTATAAGAATACTTATATAATTGAGGCGATTTTGAGCTTGGCATATCGTGAAGACATGTGATTTAAAACGAAAAAAGGCCATACAAAGCAACATAAAATTAAACGATTTTGGGAAGCATTTTAAAAACTTAGTTTCAAGAAATTGATGACGGACCGGAAGTAGAAGACACCAATGAGGTCATTTATGAAGAATTGGATCGACCTTTTACAGAGCAAGAAATTGATTTGTGTGTTAAAAAACTGAAAACTGAAAAGGCAACAGGATATGACAATTTATTAAATGAATTTCTGAAGGAGTGCAAACTAACTCTACTGCCACTGTTATGTAAACTTTTTAACGTAATACTTATTACCGGGTGGTTTCCAGAAATATGGGTCAAGAGTGTTTTAGTTCCGCTATTTAAGAAAGGTCCAGTGGATGATACAGGAAATTACAGAGGAATTTCGCTTGTGTCTCATGTTTGGAAATTGTTTAATTCTGTAATTAATACAAGACTTTTAAAGTGGTGTAAAGAATACAGTATAGTGACTGATGCGCAGTTTGGGTTTGTCCCTGGATATGGTACACACGACGCCATGTTTGCCCTTTATTCTGTTTATTGTTGTTTTATTGATTTTGTCAAACCTTTTGACAGTGCGTCACATTATGTGTTATGGCAAAAAATGTTGAAATGCGGTATTTGTGGAAATCTTTTGAATCTTATTAAATCAATGTATTCTAAGTTAAAAACTTGTGTTAAATTAGTTGGTGAATTTTCAGAGTTTTTCCATTGTAATGTTGGCCTGATGCAAGGCGAATCACTATCCCCGTTTTTATATGCAATTTATGTAAATGACATAGAAATTGTGTTAATTAAACAAGGAATAGAACCATATGAAGTAAAATGTTAAATCTTTATCTTTTTATGTATGCTGATGATACAGTTCTCTTCAGCGAAAGTATTTCTGAATTACAAAAAATGATAGTCACTGTATATGATAGTTCATACAAGAATGGTCTTGACATTAATTTGAGAAAAACCAAAATAGTTGTTTTTCGTAACAGAGGTGTAATGAAAGTGAAAGATGGTATTTAAATGGTAAAATGATAGAAATATGTGATCAGTTTGTATATCTTGGTTTGTTGTTAAATATAACGGTACTTTTACTGTAACACAGAAAACACTATCTGAACAGGGTAGAAAGGCTACATTTGGTTTATTGAGTAAGATTTATGATGATTGTTTTAATACTGAGACTTTGATATCCTTATTTGATACATATGTAACAAGTATTGTGAATTATGGTTGTGAAATATGGGGTTTTCATAAGGGATCTGATATAGAAACGCTTCATTTGTATTATTTAAAAAGAATTTTGAAAGTGAGAAAAGGGACTGTAAATCATATGATGTATTTTGAATTTGGGCGTTTGCCGTTGTATGTAAATAGATATGTAAGAATGGTACGTTATTGGTTCAAGTTATTTGAATCTAATAATTGTATCTTGAAGAGTATCTATGAAGATATGTACGAATGTAGTTTTGTTAAACCAAATGATAAACTCAACTGGAGTTGTAAGATAAAAGACATACTAAACAGATATGGTTTTAATGATATATGGTTAGCGCAAAGTGTTGGAAATAGTCAATTATTTTTACATGAATTTAAACAAAGAGTTGTTGATAACTATATAGCTGAAGGCTTGTCATTTTTTGAAAATACTTCAAAATGTAATTTGTATCAATATATACATGATTGACATACTTTGCAATTTTATTTGAATCGACCATTGAACAGTTTATTCCAGTCATATGCAACTAAATATAGAATCAATTCACATTCACTCAGTGTAGAAACTGGAAGATACTTTAATATTTCTAGAAATGAGCGTATTAATTTTGTACTATGTGTGATAAAAAAAGTAGTCGAAGATGAATATCATTTTATATTAGAGTATGATAAATATTTAAATGTCAGACGTAAATATATTAAGATATATTATTATAGAAACCCATCTACTTTCAAACTAATTCAGTTGTTATCTGTAAGAAACATAAAGGAGTTACATAATCTTGGTAAATACCTTTATGAGGCAGAAAAAAATCGTTACACTTGATTGTTTCTTATGTACTGTTAATATCTAATAGTATGTAAATTGTATGCCAAACTCCGCTACATGTTAGAAATTGTTTATGTCATTAATGCTGTATATGTATAATTATGTAAACTGTATAAATTGTGTATGAGCTGTATTTGCTCACGGAATAAAGTATTTTTATTATATATTGAAGTTCGTATTTGCAAGTGTTTTGTTTTTGGCACATTGTCGCATTCCCGAGTCTCCAAATCTCCATTTATTAAAATGTTTGTGATAACAAAAACATATAAAAGATGAATTTTCGAAACAAGGAATACGTGTGTGTATCTGAAAAAAATACGTTCGACGCATTTGGTATGGAGTATGTGTTTAAGACTTTCAATAATATGATCTGTTGATAAAATCGAATTGCGGTTAAATTATTATGACAAAATAAGAACGTAACACATTACGACTTGCAATAGGGTAATGTCTACGACAATTGTACAAGGATAAAACAGTTAAGAGTGCTTTAAAGTCCGATTTATTTTTACGTAATTTAGTGGATTCGCCAAATTGTCGTTGTGGTGCTATAGAAACAAGCTCTCATTTTTTATTAACGTGTCCTTACTATACTAACATACGTCAAGTGCTACTGAATTCTCTTGTATTTTCCGCAGCGTATTGATGTAAATATTTTGCTTTTTGGGTCAGATTGTTTAACTGATGAAGAAAATTGTACTCTTTTTGTATTGGTACAAACATACATATTGAAAAGTAAAAGATTCACACCATAATATGAAAGCATCATTTATTTGTTTTCCTTGCATTTCATTTAGCTCATTTCAATCACTTGTTTTTTGTTTTTTGTTTTTTGTTTTTTGTCTTTTTTTTTCTCCCTTTTTTCTCAAACTATATAATCAATCTTATTTTGTATTTACTATTCTTAATATATTCCAATTGACAGAGCATGCTCCAAGTATTCATTATATTGTATGTCAACATTCTTTTGGAGACAGATTAAAATAAGCAATGTTGCTTGTTTCTGAATCCCATTGTTTATACTGTATTATATTAAAAAGCATTATTTGACTTATCGAATAAAATATTGTTTAAACCAAGAGATGCATAACATTTAGGCGAGTATAACGGACGGATCTCTACATTTCAAGCTATCAATAAATATTGTTCCAAGAAATATTTATTCATCGATTCTTAATTATGCCTATAGATATTTAAACTGCTCTTACAAGTATAAGTGCGAAACGGAGATCTCATAATGAAATTCCAAAGGAAGATAGTTTTTATGGCACAAGTAAATAATTTTAGATAAAAAAGGCAAATAAAAAAAAAAACAAAAAAAAAAAAACGCGAAACAACATGCAAGATGCGTTCTAAAATCTATATGACATTCGTACAGACCAGTTGGTACGTCTTTTAAAAATTGAAATTTACAAATGTTAACTAATTTCTATTTTGAGAAAAAAAGTTATTAACATGTTCAAGAAATACCCTTCTAAATAGCATCATAGTTGTAGATAAATAGATATTTTTATTTTAAAGTACAAACAAATGTACAACGTTTTACATGTACATGAAATACAATATGTTATAAACATATGTAGTCAATACACATGTATATCTATACCTACCAGCCTTTAGAGGCTTATGATGCACGGTCATTTGTGTACGACATATTTTATAAATGAATTTCAAAATCATATTAATCCTTATTACATCTGGGGCTTAAATCTGCTGAGATAGTTCCAATATACATATATCAGTTGTGTGTAATAAATTAATATTAAAATATAGATGAGCGTAGGGTTGTACATGGAAAAGCAGGGGGATAACAGTTGCCTCTCTTTGTTCGTATCATTGTAAATAAGGATTTGTAATAAAAGATAAAACGATTTCATCATCTTAATTTGACTAAATTGTGACAGTTGTATAGTTGATCTATATAAAAAAAAATGATTTATCACATCTACTGAGCCAGCAAAATAGTATGTTAACACCATAGTTATTTTTTTGACAAAATATAATAGAGAATATACATGCATAAATGTATATATCTGACAACATTTATCACAATTAGTACAACACAAATATATGAACATCCAACAATGAGCATACCCTGCTTTGTTATAAAGAGGTATCTAAATCCAAAATCACCTTCTTGGATATTTTTTGATCCATTAAAAAATTGACTAATCCCACATCATTACTTGATTAACAGTTATTTGATTAACGTCCAGTGGCAAATATTTCATGAATACGCCTGACGTGAACATAAGCAATAGAAATGTCCCCATTTAGACAGGTCATGGCTTTATATTTATTCTAAAGTGAATGTGTGCATCACGAATGAAGATAGTGTGGTATTTTCTAAATTAAAAACTGGCAATGTATGATAGCGATATCCCGGCACACCACACGTGGTACATTGCTAATATTGGTAAATGATTAACAGAACGTTTTAATCTGATTTGTTTATGATTTAGATATTGGCTCTTTTGCCATTGTCAAACCGGTCTACTTAATACATATAGATACTTTTAAAATGATGTTATTCGGCGTGTTAAACTCGATGTGTTCCTTAAAAATACTATAATTATAACTTTGTATGATTTATTGAAGGAAAAAATATTGCATAATCGAACCATATATCATATATTATGCTCATGTTATCTAAATTTTCATTTTCCATTACAAACAAATTGATTTCTTACTCTATTTAGATGAACCGATTACAACCGAGAGGCCTCGCTATTAATTGTTCGTTGTGCGTCAGTCAGAAGGTTTTTATTAAGCATTTCGTGAGTATCCTGTACAGACATCTCTCTATACCGGATGATTTGCTATATTGCGCACCAACATTCATTTTGATCTTTAAATGATTCAGAAATTTGCTGATCGATATTGTGTATTTTTCAGTATATCGATATCTTCTCAGTTCGAGTCTCTTCCTTCGTAATTGCTTTTTTTTCCGTATTATTTTCGGAAACTAAGGAGCGATTCGAAATTTAGTATCCATCAATATCCGTCCTACCATATTATACAAATACAAATGAAAAACCGACATTCACTGAGGCCAACGGCCGAAGTGAATGTCACTAGGTTTTTCAAAAGTCAATTAAACCACATATTTACCGGAAAAAAAGACAGTAATTGTTTTATTCCATGTTCCGAGAGAGAAAATATGTTTAAATTAACAGTTATTTACCAAAACCAACTAAACGTCAAACATTGTATCGTTATTATACACGTAAAAGCACGCGATGTTTTGCGCGATGAATATACTTTTTTCGCAGGTGAATATGCTTATTTATTCAAAATCCCATTCACATAGAAAAACCTACTAAAGTTCTATCAATATGGAATAAACTGATTTTTTTGTCGATCTACTAATATTGATGTTTTCGTGGTTACTAGCCATGCGTTCTCGAATCAAATTTCATCGTCAATTTCTTCATATTCATTTTCCATATTGGATTCGGATCGGCTTTCCGGCATTTCAATGGGCACCTGTGATACTTGTGCAATTGAACTCGACAGATCGTGTAAAAGTTTGAATCTGGCTAAAATATTCTTCCAGGAAATATATATATGATAAACCTAGAACTAACCCAATGATGAAAATGACAGTTCCTCCAAGGATATAGTGTATTTGCCTATTGGACAACTATCCACCATAGACCAAAGGACGAGGATGTATTTTTTAACTTTAGGTCGCTGTATGGCCTTTACAATGAGCAAACCGAATACCAAATACATGTAGTAAACTATGCCATTGGAAGGTATGACAAGATGTGAAACAATGCAAAAGAGAATCCATGTTAAATCAAGTAAAACAAAACCTATTCAATAAAGAATGTACATTTCTAGATTAACGTATAACCATACGAAAGTATGATGTAGACGCCAGATTACTTTTCCCACTGTTGTAATAATGTTTTTATTTGAAACTTAGGCATAATTAACTGTGTCAAATTGGATCGATCGATCGAGAGAGAGAGAGAGAGAGACAGAAAGAGAGAGAGAGAGACGAAGTATTTTGAACCCTTTCTCGTTGGGTTATATTAGAACTTTTCACGCATACAAAAGGACGCAACAATTGCAAATAAACAAACAGTGTTAATATATTAGGAACATAAATCAATTTTTTGCTGCAACTAATGTCTATGAAATGCCACAAGACAAAATTATTGCACATATTTTAAAAGCAAATACAGTTAACTCTCGTTGTCTCGAACTCGGTTGACTCGAAATTTCGGATAAGTGGTCCGAACTTTGTTCCATATAAAATACATGTAGTTCTACTCCTGATGAGTCGAAATTTCGGATGTCTTGAATTAAATGTACAGTCCCAAGGTTAACAAAAGCATATAAATTACATTCTTTATGTCGAAGTTATAGTATGTACATTGAATTTGAAATGAAATTATATGTGTAGATTTTCAAATCTATATTTGTTTGAACGTTTACGTTGAATTTATTGCTGTAGGTATTTAATTCAGTTACCTTTTTGAAATCGGATATTGCAATAGAATTTTGAATTGAAGAAATTGAAATAATAAAAACAAAAACTTTCAGTCGTTTACAGTTACGTTGACCAGCGCATCTAAAACCGTAGATTCTGATAGTTGAGTATATTATATGAACTTTACTCTAAAATATTAAAATATAAACTGCATATGGTACTTAACTAAAGTTTATATATATAGGTATTTTTCAGAGACAAAGAATATAGATATAAGAAGATTTGATATGAGTGCCAATGAGACAACTCTTCATCCAAGTCAAAATTTATAAAAGTAAACCATTATAGGCCAAAGTACGGGTTACAAGAGCGCAATTATTTGTTTACATTTTACCGGCAAGTTTTTTACCCCAAGATGGTACTCAGAATAGAATCCTATACGGCTTCTGATTGGATGATACAGGATTGGAATTACATTTAAT